CTACCTCTGCGACAGAGTGTTTCCAAATTCGGCTCTCTTCATATATCCAGATAGCCTAACTACAATGAATCTATCACTATAGCTAGCTCTAATGGCAGATGGAGCTGAGGTAGCAAGGTAAACATGGCTTCCACTTATTGTGACTTTACTTTTTGTCTTTTTTTTGTACTTCTATCTTGTAAAGTATATCAGTGTATATTTCAACACCCAAGAAAAATATAATTTGCCAGGTCCTACTTCTAACACATTAAAGGCCTTCTCCCTCCCAGTCCCAGACACTGAAAAAATATACCTTTCATATGAAGATAATTAAAAAAAATATTCAGAATCTATGATGTATTGTGCTGGAAAGGAAGCAGGGTATTTGTGTTGTTGTCACTGCACTCTAAGACATTACATCAGGTAGAAGTAGGTTCAAGGTCTTCAAAGCCTTCATTATCAGTCTCCTGCTGACCTTTTACACTGGCAAAAGGTATATTGACATGCTTGGGAATCATAGTACACATACATTAATCTCCTTCATTGAATAACCAAATCATGTTTTTAATTAGCAAGGCCTCTTCAAACAAAAAAAAAGTCCCATACCTATAGAAAAAAAACTATTTACATAATATTAGAGTGCTTCTTCCTAAATAATAAAGATTTGACATGTCGGTGAGTTCTTTTCCTTCCTTTGAGTTTAATTATAACTTTTCTTCCATGAAAGAATTAGTGATAGAAACAATGCACATGAGTAAATGCCAAGTCACATCCTTCAATAAAAAAAAGAAACCTTGCAAGGACATACAACATATGTGTATTCAACTAATCATTCTAGCACATTGACTTTTATGGTTAAAATGAATGGTCATCATCCCTGATACTTGAAATACAAGGTTAACATTTCTTTTTTTTTATTTTATAGGCACTGAATATGTATTCAAGTTTACTTTTAACCACTAGAAAAATACCCATTTCAGGTACATCACAACCCTGTCTTAACTTTTATTCCCCAAACAAATCAAAATACCCTGTAAAAGGTAAACAAAATGTAGCCAGCTTTTTCAGGAAATATTAGGACATTGACTGTGTTCATGTTCCAACATCTGGAACCTAAGTTGGGGAAACAAAAATATTTTCTCTGAATGCTGATAAAAGATGAGATTCGTATAGCAGAATAGCCAATGTAAAGCTGCTTGTGTACATGCTCATTTGATTTCCGTCCACAGGTTAGGATTGTTTTCTGATCTGACCATTATTAGACAGCTTAGGCAATAATCAATGTATGTCTACGAGTACACAGCTTTCTGTACAAAAAAATGCTTTTAAAGTGACACTAAACTCAGGAGTTAAATTAAAAAAATACATTCAATTACCTTAACTATTAACAAAAATGTATCTTATTTGTGTATCGTTCAGCTGTAGATCCTCAAATCATCTCTAAATTCATGCTGACACTGTCCTTCCTTCTGAAGAGTGGCTGCTTTGTGGTCCCTGCGTGTGTTGTAAAGTGGCCACTGCTCCAAGCTCACCCCTATGATAGACTACAATCTACAAATTAGTAAACTAAATGTAATATTGTAGTGAGTGAGCTTGGAGCAGTGGCTACTTTACAATTCAGAGATGATTTGAGGATATGCAGCTAAGAGATGCACACATAAGATACATATTTGTTAACAGTGAAGGTACTTGAATGTATTTTTAAAATGTAACTTCAGAGTTTAGTGTCCCTTTAAATATGTTAAACAGACTGAAAGTCCAGTGGATCTCCAAGTGTTACAGATAATTCCACACCATGGCAGATAGATCTATCAAACTCCCTTAGTTTAGCTACAAATGGGCAGATGTGTCATTGGTAAATGGCAGGGGGGTGATATATCTGTCCATCCTGTCGCACATCACTGCAGTGCTAGAACCTACATTGTTTTCCCCTCCAGCACATGAGAAGTGGAAGTCTTGCACACTTTTCTCTATAGAAAATTGATTAATTTGGGCTCAACTGTAAAAATAAATATAAACAAAATGTGTGTGGTAATAAGCAATTCCAAAAAATGCAAGTCCTTATTATCTCCCCTAGATAACATTCTATGGCCCGATTGTCACCAGACTGTTGCAAATAATGCTAGAATCACCACATGATTATTTGTTGTACATATTTCCCAACAAATTACCTATTCATTATCATTTGACATCATTAAATAAATAAAGTATAGAAAAACTTGGGGAGAAACCTTCACAAAGAAAAGTATTTCTTTATTTAAAGTGATCTCTTTCTTAAGAAAATCATTCTGATTTCCCAAAGTTTTTCAGTGAATGTATAGCAGCAAGGTGCTTCATTAAATTGGCACTGACTCTGTAATTTCTAACATAAGAATGGAAGCAATAAAAGGCATCCTTTAAACAGTAGATATACATTACATTTAATTAAAAAGTAGGATTAAGCATCCCTGAGGTGCCTAACTAGCTTTGGCCCCCACAACATGCTGCATTGTGTGGTGGGTAAGCAGTGTTTACAGCTCCCCCTCTATCAGTGGTTCCAGGCTCCAGTATGCTACCCCCTATTGGTTTACAGAGTATGAGGTACTTGTAGCTAGCAATGCAACCGAGGGCTAATACCTATTGAATTTCTTTTTTAGTAATTATACAGAAAACATTAATGGATGCAAGATGAAATATTTTATAAACTGTAATAAACTTGGCCATGGGTCATCAGGGTATTTTATGACCTTGATTGTGAAAATAAACTACTACTACTAGTGAAACCCACAGCAACCATATCGTTTTTTAAATTGTCTATGGACATTAAATTATTTACATATTCATAACAAGCAGTAAAAGAGCTTTAAAACAAGTCATCCATGATATCTATAGGTAGTTATTCCTTCTCAGAGATCCTCAAGGATTACAACAAATACTCTACAGTTGGTTTGTCAGGAACACAGCTTAGAAACACCAGCTGGTTGTTTGCATTCAAAGACTGGCAGCCTGCCAAGGGAAAACGTTTTGATTATTTTTTGAACATTGAAAATTAATTTCTTCACAATGCTTGTAGATACAGAGAGTAAAGGTGCCCATACACCTTACGATTATCGGACAAAACTTTTCGTCCAATGATCGAACCGTCGTATGATTTTCGTACGACGGCCCCATCCTGCCCCGATTATCGAACAGTTCAATCAGCGGTAGTTAAAAAAAAAACCACCTGGACGACTTGCAGTAATTGACCGCAATTATTTTCGTTTGCGCATGCGCAGTGTTAATTGTACGACTTTTGACGGACGGAGACGCCACCAACCATGCGAACATCGTACGATCGACCAAAGTTTTCAAACTTGCTTGACAGTCAAAAGTCGTACGATTGTACAGTACTATCGGTGGTGCATTCTATTCACAGGTTACGATTGTCGTACGAAAAGTCGATCACATACGATTATCGTACAATAATCGTAAGGTGTATGGGCACCTTTAGGGTTCGTTTTAAAGTGCTTTTACTGCTTTTTTGCAATATGTATATAGTTTTTAGTGTGCATAATCTAGGCACATATTACTAATAAGATGTTATTTCTGAGTAGTTGCTGTGGGTTACTGTACACATTACTCTTTGCTTTGTTATGTAACTCCCTTGCTTTATATGCAGCAGGACTTTAAAAAGTTGCATGATACTTTTTTAAGTACATAGAGGCAAAGGCTCTATTGTGCTATAACATGAAATAAATAGTTTTTAAACTCTTAAAACATTTTCTAATTTGTTAGCCTCACTTGCTTAGACATATGCTCAGTCATTGCCTTCAAACTATGCTGTTGAAGACCTACTTAAAATATTGCCAACTACACTTCCACCTATGGGATGGCTTCGATAATGTGTGAGGTCTCCCTGGAGCCACCTGTGTGCACGGGCAGCCGACCGACAGCTGCACCAGAAGCTGAAGAGCCTGCATAGCTAAAGGGCTGCCAAGAATGCTTAATCTCAGAGTTTATTGACTCAGCCCCGCCACGTCTGCACAGTTAAAGGGATGCCAGAGATGCTTAATCTCATAGCACTTTGTCTATGCTCCCAGCCCCTCTCCTTTCTCTGCCTTGGGAAGAACCCGTGAAGACAGTCCTGGCATGTAAACTGTACTTTGGGCTGAGCTGTACATTGCAAAGCATTAGGGAGTTGGAGTTCTAGCCAATGCACATGTGACTGCTTCCAGCCGTAGACAAGCAAGTTCTGCTTTTTCTGAGGTGAGGTGCACAGCTCTAAAGCAAAAAAGTATTTTAAAACAAGGTCGCCATTTGAAGGAAAGTGTTTTGGCTGCATTTAGATATGCTTTGATTATGTAAAAGAAGTCTATAACCTGCCGCATCTCTAGAATTACAGTGATCATTCTGTAAGAGGTGTTTAAATGATTGGTCGGTAACCACCTCAGGTAAGCACAAGTGATTTAGAATTGTGTTGTGTAATACTAAGAGGATTATAAAGCTTCATTGTTATTTATCATGTAATCCTGTGCTAGACGTTCAACACTAAGCGGTTTTAACACTCATCTTCACAAAGACACATTGCGTACAGCTACAATCAGTGATGTCTGAACATGGTCTCCATGTTTATTTTTAATGATGATCCTGATGGAACATAGAGAAACAATCGGTCTGGTGATCATTACAGTATTGACTTAGATGCTGAGCATCACATGTGGCCTTTCAGTTTAGCTGCTGTAGGAAAGCTCAACTGAAAATGCAGGGAAAGTGCAGTGTGACAATTACACTCTAGACCAGGGAAACGCTTAAACTATTAGAAAATAAAGAAATCCTAATACCACCCTTTGTCGTTTGTTTATAACATATTTACTTATTTATACAAATGACATAGGTATACCTAAATACCAGTTACTCCACAGATCATTAATTTACAGTTGCATAGAAAGAGAAGAAAATACAGAACACAGACAGTATCTAAAAACATGTCTTCATCTTTGGGTATTCAGTGTCATATGCCTTTATTAAAATGCGCTGAATGCGTGTCAGTCCCATGTAACCTTTCAATAATAGAATCTTTGATTGGCTGCGTACTGACGGGACTCTGTGCCAAGGACAGATGTTCTCATGGATGGTTTCTTCACATTGCCTGCATAGTGGAGAATAATAATAATCAATGCTTATGCTTATGATATGAACTGGCCAGATAGAATTCAATGCATGCTGTCACAAGCATTCTATTGTGTTTCTCATCTGTCTCGACATAAAAGGAAACTGAACAGAGTATTCATATGGATCCTCTACTTACTGCAAAACATTGACAACTGTTGATAGGGAAGTGCCAGTTTAGTTAAAGTTGATATAACCTACAGTATATAACTCCTAAATAAGTGTCAGCTTTACACTGGAAGCGATTTGAGTGGTTGTATGCACTGTATATGTATACAGTACATTGAGCATCCCTTGATTAAGAATTTGGTTTGAGAGCCAGGAGACTGGTAGTTTGTGGTTCAGTGATCCTGTCCCTGATATACAATGTGAATAGTTGTCTATACTTAACATACATATTATGAAATCAGAGTGAAATCAGTGTAAATATGGTATTGTATGAAACACTGCAATCAATCTGTATTCAAATAGTGTTTTTGCCTAGCATAAGACTTATTTTATAGCAGGTAAAGGGAAAATGAAAAATGAATCATACCTGCTCTCTTCTAGAAGTGCTTGCTGTAAATATTAAAAGAAAAATCCATTAATGCTCACAGATAAAATAAAACATTAACGATCAACCATATTGTAAACAACTGGCTTGCTGAGAGGCAAAACATAAATATGCAATGCTGATTAAACTACCCATGTGTAATTTTTCGATTACAGACTTATTTTCTACATGTGAGGTCTCTGAATTTTGCACTCCTTGCAATGCAAGTGATTTCAGATTTAAAAAAAAACGTGTAATGTGCTTGATGATGGCAGATTTGATATTTGCTCAAGCCCAATCCCTGTTCTGAGGCAGGCAAGGAAATCCACTTAATCCCATGCACAGCACCAACAGCAGAGCCTAACCTTTCAGATAATTAAATATGTGGGGTTTGCAAATCAGTGCCAGCACTACTTACATGGGCAGTAATAATAAGACCAATATCTTGACATGATCCTAGTGCTATCATAAGACGCTAACTGAATCTAACCTTTTGTAACCTTAATTGATCCAAAGTATGTAGGAAATATTAGCAAAAATAATCATTAGAAAGGAAACAATGCACAGAAGACTTATATTATCTCACGAAATGTGAAATCTACATATCTGCAGGAACTCTTATCTCTTGCAGAATTCCTGATTTGCATTTCTGTGGACTTACAACAACATTGTGTTGTGTTGCACAGAAAGATACACCCATGTGTTCACAAAGCTGTGCCGAATTTCAAAAGTCACAGTGATTGGTTGTTTTCAGTGGGTCCCAAGATTCCTTCCATTTAATTACTTAAAGGATTATTAAACCCTTGCGTATTTTTGCATATATCTACTGCTAGCAAGCAGTAGATATATGGAAAAACATAAAAAACAGTTTACAAAAGGGTTAAAACCTTACCTGCGTCTCCACCGCGCGCTTCCGTCCAAAGATCTGAAGATTCTCGGGCGGCTGCATAGGATCAAGGGCGGGCGCATGGGCAGTTCAGATCTTTGGACAGGAGACGAGGAGAGACACAAGGTAAGTCAATGGAGGCAATGTGCACCTGCACAGACTCCGCGGGACAGAAAGTGCCAGGAAAAGAGTGGAGTCAGCACTGGATCAGAGACCGGTACCAGAGCTGGAGGGACTCCTGAAAACTACTGGAAAGAAGAAGATGATCGGATCAAGAGGCATCATTTAAGGTAATCCTTACACTAGCTTTGGGGGGGAAATGCCTTTAATGTCACTTTAAAGAGCTTTGAAATGACAACAAATACATTTTTAGAAATGTTTAGTGATGACAATCTACAAACAGATACTTATAGATAATTGCAGGCTTTTATTCTTTGCATACATTACTCTTCTTTTCCTCACCATTTTTCTCGCCTTGACCATTTTTACTAAGGGCTGATTAATATATCTCACTTTACTTCCTGGAACTCTGGCACATGTGACCATGCACATCATCTCTGGGGAGGAAAATTACTTTCCCTGAGATCTCGTGAGATTACAGATGAGATTTCCAAGCAATGCACTGTGATGTAACCTTACCAGGATGCAACGCTTGGGCACATTACATCACTAATGCCCAATGTAAATAAGAGAAAAATATGTTTGTTTAACTAATGACTGTAAGATGACTTCATATCAGCACACAGAGCTGCATACTGATGTGATTTTTATTGAAAGAGTATAAAGGTCCACTTTAATATGTTCTTGTGCCTGCAGCTTGTAGTATATTTCCGTCCTACAGCACAGATTGGGGCCACATTGTAAATGTCACTATTAGCAAGTAAGTGCAGTATTTAGGGTGAGGCTTGCATCTTGGAAACATATACAAAAAAATCATGTGACCAGAGCCAGACATATAATGCAGCAGCTGCAACATATGGCCTATGAGATGACCACATAAAAGACCAAAATATGGGTGAAGACATCAGCAGTCAAAAAATCTCAGTTACTTTAAAAGTTCACCAGTCATTCATTCATTCATTGCCTCAAAAATACTGCTATTTTAATTTTGTATTTGTGTTTTTCAGCAAGCTCAATGTACTGTGCAACAGAACAATAATAAAAAAAAAGTTCAATTTGAATGCTGGATACCTGTTGTGAAAAGAAAATAAGCAGATTTGTATTCAATAAAACAGGTAAGCACTCCGTGGTATCTTTCAATGTTTTTAAGAGTGAGCCTGTTGGCATACACAGAGATGAGAGTCTGATTTCTGTCGCTAGGTATTGTTGAAAGAAGGCTATATATTGGATATGCAGTATTCAGTGTGCAATTCATTCTCTTGTCCCCACTATTGGTCTGTCATATGAGACTTCAATGAAAAACTCATACAGTCTGTCAAGAAAGATAACAGATAAGGATAGCTGTCTAACGAAAACTAATAACATCCATTTTTTAGTCATCTCTGACACCATATCCGCTTGACAGTTATCACTTAATTCTTTATGAGTCACTAAACCCATTTTACTGAATGTAATACATGGGTTATTCATATGTATTATGTTTTTAATAAACACACAAATATATTGGATATGCCATTACTGACATTCTTTCATTATGTAGATAAACTGTCCTTGTTACTTTAATTTTAGCAACAGAATATTACAGGGATTTCATTGCTGTGACTGTTAAGCTGTTCACTGAGTTTTCAGCTGACCATAGATATTAAATGGTGGCTATATGTTAGGGCCTTATAAAAATTGTCATTTATTACAGAATAATCTACATAAACATACACATTCAGATCGCCCATGGGTATATGTTTATTTCTCTGGAAAGAGGAAGAACCACATAGATACCTTCATCATTTTAGGGGGTGCAATCATCCATTACCTGGATAGCAATTGTTTCCATTGCCATCCATGTATGTTTCGCACACTCTGCTGGTGTCCCTCGATGTAAGGACTGCCATCCAGTCTGGCTGAATTTGACTGGATTGGGGGACGAGCATCCTACATTTAAACCTGACCTTAAAGTGATATTAAAGTGAAAAGGATTTTAAGCTATTTCTAAATGGGACACTCAGCAGTGGGACACCTTTTAATTTGTTCTCTTCACTGCCTCCCATAATTCTCTTAAGATTGAAAGAAAATGAAAATTTGTGCAAGCTAATATTTCTTAGCACCAGCAGCGTGCACACGGACAGACTCCGTAGGACACAGAAGACACAGCAGTTAGTGCAGGATCAGAGAGCAGCACCAGCGCTGGAGGGAATACTGAAAACTACTGGAAAGAAGAAGATATTGTGACTTTAATGACTTTTATTCTACATTTTCCAAGTTAAAAAATAAGCTACTAATGACTTTGCATAAATGTCAAAGTTTAAAAGGGAGAGCAAGAATAGCAAACGTAAAACACATGGAATGATCCAGAGTAATCAAATCTTTATATACACATGAGTTCCTGTATTCCAAACTTTTAGAATGAAAAAAAACCGGGGGAATTAATAAAAAGTGCCTTAGGTAAGTTATAGCCCAATTGGTGCAATTACCCATAGCAACCAATCAGCTTCTATCTTGGTTTTTTTTCACCACATCTAAGAAAATTAAGATTTAAAAGCTGATTGAGACAAACTTTGTCTTAACTGGGTCGTTGACAGACACTTTTTATTAACTCCCCCCAAGATGTCAAGCCCTGCCCCTGATTTATCCAAATCCCACATTATTAATTTACAATATCTAAAAAGACAACCCCTTATCTTGGGAAGACCCACCCCTTTTAGTGTTCAAAGGTTTCACTTTCACAAATAGCTGCACCGTTGGCAGATATGTTCACCCTTACACCAACAGGTTTTTTGCATCCAATACACGCTTTTCCCAGAAATCTGGTAGCACTCTGACCGATACGCTTCCAATAAAATGTTCAAATTAACATTGATCCCATCTGTGTGTATGTCCAAATTTCACACTGTTTGAAATCCAGTGCAATTGGCAGGCTTTAAAAATTAAAAAACACAAAACATCATGACACCTTTAAATGGAAAAATGTAAAGCAATAAGAAATATAAGTAGCACTTACAGCAGCTGAGTGGAAATGTGCTGTTTATTTGTTCCATAACATCCATCAGGTCTGTGCTGGTGTTATGAGGGGAAGACAGTATGTCATCTGTAAATACATTAATCAAACCAGCAAAGTTTAGGAATGAAATGTAACAATTCCTCAAAGTAGAAGTCTATTAAAGTTCCTTGGGTATGCAATGTTAATACTGTAACATTTGCTATGCATGAGTAATAACCAAGATGAGATTGTCTCTAGCAAAGGCTTCGTAATTACTGCTTGGAGGAGAATTAAACTGATTCTATTGGGATCACTTACAAGATGTAGTTCTCTGTTGGGTAAGAAGAGCCTGTGTAATAAAAGCAACAGCTCCATTTCACAGATGAATGATCAGATTCTTGACAGTCTATATAGTGCAAATGGTAGACATTAATTTTCACTACATACATTTGATATCTATAAAATAGGTTTTACTCATTTGTTTCTAAATTGTTGACTCTTAATGCTCATCAGTTTAATAGCATCAAAACTTTATGACCTCACCTTTTGTCCTACTAAGTGGTAATCTTGGTACCCTACTTGCTTATGTTATTACAATGTAAGTAGTAAAATCAATATCTAATGATGTTGAAAAATAAGGTTACAGCAACATATAAAAATGGGGCACATTGATCAAAAGACCAACATGCTGCAAAATGAGCAACAGGTAAGCACCGGGTTTTATTCCATTGTCCAATGCTATTACATTTTCTGACTTTTGGTGCTCTGGTTTTGCAGTTGCCTGCAGCTTAAAGTGTATTTCCACAAATTGGGATAGCACGGATTTTATATTTGTTACATGTTCCCACTCACACGGCATACACTAAAAAAATATTCTTCTTGCAGTTTAACCCCTTCATGACTGAGCTTGTTTTTAGTTTCTGTTCGTAAATGACTGACACACTTTTGACATTTTTGCTGTGTGATTCTTCCACGTCAGTAATATACTTTCTTACAAAGTGCACCCACACATATTATATATTGTTTTTTTAGAGGACAGATAGGGCTACATATTTATATCACATATGTGTGTCTAACGCCTCACTTAGGACAAATAAAATGTAAAAAACGTTTAACAGCCCTCTAAAGAAGCAAATAACTCGTCACGTACAGTGTACGTGACAAGTCATTTGGTCCCTTTGTGGCTGGACGTACAGTGTACGTCTCCCGTCACGAAGGGGTTAAATAGCTTTTACTTGGTTTAGGATTATAAGGGTTAACATTTCTTCTTGCTACCATTTATTTTAAATGTTAGGAGGGTCTGTGAGGGGTGAGGATCTTGTCCATTGTGTGTTAATGAAGCTTATTAGATAAACACAATCCTCAAATTTCCGTCCCAAGACTTTCTACTGGGACAGGCCACTGTGCATCTAAAAGGTAAGATATTTTTTTTTTAGTTATTTTTCAAAATGCTGTGTGAATAGGAACACATATGGAAGGGTTTTCCTAAATTTGACTGCAAAAGTGGAAATACACTTTAACTTATTAAACAACTGATGAGCTAATGCTACAAGTGTGTGTTCAATCAGTCAGTGGGTAGTTGGTGGAGGGTAGTATGCACTGGGTGGGGGAGAAAGCCCAGAAGCAGCTCTGTAAAAAGGTTTCACATCTGTGGTGGTAATTTGTTTGGATCACTATATTAATGCCCTAGTAAAGTGGCAATTTTGCAGTTGAGTAAAAGCATGAATAATAATCACTGTCACAATGTGGGCAAATGAGTGCAGACTGCAAGACACTGCAACAGTCTCTTTCACAACTATCACTGGTCTCTGCGACCAAAGCTGCAAGTTATATGAGATACCATTTGTTACAAATACTCAGGGAGCTATTTAAAATGGAGATCAGTTCTCTGCTGGACGCTGCACTGTTTACTTCATATATGCTTGAATTTTACAAGCCATTCATAAAATGCACATTGTGGAGCCTTTAGCATTCATCAGAGTGGCCTGTAGTGTCCATCAGAGTGATGCTTGTGTTTTAAATGACAAAGATTCATTCACTATCAGTGAATGCCCGCACAACACTCCTTACCAGTGTTCCTCTGGATGCATGGGAGCTGAAGTGATTCTGAGATTGGCTTCGCATATATCCAAGAAAAATAGAATATTTCACCAGAACACCAAGGATCTTTATCCAAAAACGCCTGTATTAATGTTTCCCCATCATTTCAAACATATAAATATGCCCCTAAGTGATAGGGGGAGAGCACAGTCACATAACATTGACAGGCCATGTGATTGTGCCCCCTTTTACTTATTGCAATATTTTTTCTGTTTTATTGAACAGAGCTTCACTTAGTTTGCGGTCCTCATTCACGCGAAGCACACGAGTGCACATTTGGGAAACACATCACTCTCTATGCCTTACCAATATGCCTGAATTTTTTTTAAAGCAGTGGTAAGGCTGTGGTAAGGCCATTCTGATGCTTTATAAATGGGCCTCTCCAAATTAGTAGAGGACAGTAGGAACAATTCTCAGTCTAAAGCTCGTTTGTTATTAAAACTGGCTTAGTGGCCCAAAAACACAAAATTCAACAATACAAATGCAGTTAGTTGTTTATTAACAACTGTTTTTTTTTCTATTTAGAGCTACATTAAAACATTGTACTGAGTCACAAAGGTTTGAGCCTATAACTGAAGACTGTCTCAAGCAAAATCATACTTTCTTTGTGTTTTACACAAACTAGCCTTCATACGAAGTGAAGTTCCAAACAGGAACACCTCCCACCATTCTGTCAGCTATAATATACACTTGATGGAAACTGGGATTGATACAGCTCATGTATTCTGCAGCTAGCAATAATATCTATCTATCTATCTATCTATCTATCTATCTATCTATCTATCTATCTATCTATATATATCAATCATTCGTGTCTCACCTCTCTGTTGAAATTGTGAACTGTAGTGGTCAGCTGTATATTGTGGGGCTGGCGGCTGCATTAAAACTGTAGAAACAGAGACTCCATTCACCCTGGATTCTGAGTCAGGCTATAAACAAAGTAAATAAAAGCCATGTAAGATGGAAATGTAAAAGGAAAGAAAATAAATAATACCATTCAAAAAGATCTTCAATGATTCCTTCTTGTACTACTATTTTCTATACTGCCTATAACCGAGTTACATTTATTAAATATTAATAAGCCTGGATCAGGCTTCAACCTTCTGGACAAATATCAATATTTATGAACATGAGTGGGAACATTCCATATATTAGCAGAACATGTTTATCTGTTCCTGAGTAATTTAATTCAACATCATGACCTGCCAGTATTTCATTCCTGATTCTGAATAATCACAAGCCACAAAGTATCATGGGAACGTCTAATATAAAGAGGGCTTTTTATACTGTAAATTAAGTTTACTAGACACATATTAATGTCAGTAAATAAATATCAATTGAAGAAGCAGCCTCTGCTTAAAGCTCCAATTGCTGTGGGGCTACCCCCGCACTGCAAGGGTAAACTACTCGTTTTGGTTTAGGAGTATTGTGCAAACGACTTTTACTTACCTGATTCCCACTCCTTCAGGCTCCAAGACAGGCTCTCCTACCTTCTTCCCCCCCTTGTTCCTGAGGTTGGGGGCCCGCTCACTTCATTACGTACAATGTAGGGACCATAGCCCTGCATTATACGCAACGATGCTGTGGAACAGTCCACAAGCCAAAGCGTTGGGGAGATGAGATTAGCATCGACTGACGGGGGAGCATGTAAGTAAAAGTCCTTTACACAATACCCCTAGAGAAAAATTAGTTAACTCTTGCAGTGCAGGGGTGGCCCCAGGGCAAGGGTAGTTTTTTCCCCCCACAGATAGGCTTTAAGCATGCCTAGATTCAGGCAACCCTATTTACCAAATAGTCTAATTATCATTTTTGTTTAAAGTGGAACTATGAGCAAAATCCAAAATGACATATATGGTGCAGTCTGTCAATAGCAAAGGCAAAGCAGTTTTTGTTTTTCTGATTCCCCTGTAACATTATGCCCTATTTGATACTGTCAGTAGATCAGTTGCTATTAAACTTCCTGTAGCAGGTCTACTCCTGCAGCTGCCCAGAAGTGACAGTTTCAAGGTTGGACAAACTATATAGCACTGACAAGGGTGCTTATAATGGTCAATTTAATTTGTATTGCATAAATAATTTTTCCAAATGAAACAACTTGTTGCTGTAACTGCCTAATAAATGTAAGCTGGTGTTAGAATTTGATGTGTCTGTCAATTTAAAGCTACACGTCCAACAAGTGGACTGCCATATGAGTGTAATACACCATTGCTTGTCATTAAAATACATCCAAGTATGATAATATAGGGCATGGGTAGGCAACATTGGCAATCATGTCTCTGTCTCTGGGAGTCATGTCTGGGGCTGCCAGAGTGTTAACATGCCTCATAGGACTTGTAATTCCACAAGAGCTAGATTGCTGAGGTTGCCTACCCCTGGTATTATGCTGTATACGGAGCATTGCACCTTTGAGAGCCTAAAAATTATTTTAGTTTTGTTTAGAACATCTCTACAATGTTATTGCTGTCTGTGTAATAGCTGGTGGGATTTACACTTGCTCATTATCAATACATTGATATATTCTTGTACTTTGAATTTGTGACATAAGGTATGAAGGTATCTATGGCTGCAAACACATTGGGGTTGATTCACAAAAAGCAAACAGACTGTTCATTTATCAAATGAAATTGCAGGGGAAGTTTCGCTTGGCCTGGTGAATGCGGGAAAATGTTATACTTTGCAAAGAATACCCAATTTCTTGCACATAAATTATACAAAAAAAATCATTTTTGCTTGCACATGACTGAATGATGGCAGTCAGCAGAGCTTCACCTCATTCATCAATCTAAGGGGAAGCTTTCCCAGCAAGATGCATATTCCCTTGCAAAACAAACAGGCTATTTGCTTTCGGTAAATCAATCCATTTATCGCCTAGATTGTAGTTTTCTCTGTTCCTGTTCAACCACCCTCTATGTATGATAGAGGGTGGTTGAACAGGAATTATAATTTCCATCATTTCTGTTTACAATCTACAGGCTCAATATGAGTAATGTGATGTGTACACTCATTCAAATATATAAATACAAAGTCACAAAAGTAATAAAATGTATGATGTATGGTACCTGCTCCAATAACTGCCGAAGCCGCTGAAGTTGGGACTCGAGTTGCTTGTTATGATCCTCTAGAATCTGCATCCTGGCTTCTAATCGGCCTTTGTGCTGTCTTAGCAGTTTTGCCTCAGCAATGAGTTCTGCATCCTCGGATGTGTGCTGAAGTGATGCCAGGGAATCAGGAGGAGAGGACGGAGGGCTCAGCCCTCGTCTCAGATGCTGTGCTTTCAGCTGTTCGTATTCAATCTTTAAATTCCTGATAAAAAGTATAGTTGGCATGTTATATATAAATAGGTCATTCTGAATTGACAACGTAAATTCCAGTCAAAAGTTTACCTTCCCAGCAACATCAGTAACTTATTATATCTCTCATAAACTATGACAGTGAGATACCACCTCTGTCTAACTTCCCTCACTGCAGCCATTAACAAAATGTCAAGCCTGCTCCTGCTGAATTCAATGGACTGCGAATTCTGCTTTGAGAGTATAACAGCCTTAGCGGGGGGCAGAGACACCATGCATGGTGATGATCTACCACCAGTGGCCCCATTAGCAAGTAAGCCAACAGGTCATTCAAAATGCCACAGTCACCATTAACGATACTGTATATCAGTTTTTAGTGGAACTTGATCACCTTGTAAATAAGCAAAATACTACCAGCCTTTTTGACCCAAAATAATTAATGCATTTCAGGAAAGATGAAGTAAGTTAGAAACAATAGATGGTTAAATCTGATAGAAAAGTGGCCTGGGTTTGAGCAAAGAAGAGCTATTTCCTGCAACAACTAATCAAAGCCCTAGGTTAGCAATTCGGGCTATTGTGAATAGCCCGTACAGGACTCCTTCGGTTCTACTGAACCGAAGGGGTCCTGGGGCCGAAGCTAGCCAAAGGATCGGCCAAAGCTACGGCCAGATCCTTCGGCAGCTTCGTGAATAGACCCCATAATTTGCTTATGAGTGCTCTAACGATGGGTTAGGGCAATATCTACTTAAACATGAAATAGTTTCCATGAAAGATTAGGGTTATACACTGAGTGGCCAGATTATTATCACCACCCCATCAGTACTTCGTTGGGCCACGAGATGACTTCGTTGGGCCGCCTCGTGATGTTGAGATGTTGAAAGGTAATGCGAGGAATCTGACACTGCACTGTTGCCCTTCTGTTGTCTTGCACCAGTCTTGCCACTCTCCGTTCTGCCCTAACATTTACTAGTCGCTGACGGCCACAATTCGCACGTTCAGACCCAGATTTTCAGCTGACAGTCCAGTCTTTAAACACTTTAACAACAGCTGCTCTTGAACATTTAACGAATTCTGCTGTTTGGCTGATACTCACTCCATGGCTCTGGGCGCCAACAATCATCCCACATTCAAAGGCTTTTAAATCGCGTTGTTTACCCATATCTTCAGGAAAAAATCCCTTCTATTGTCGTGGTAAACAACCTGCTTCCCTGTTTAAAACAACCTGCTTCCCTATTTATAATGGTCTGGCCCTCTAGCGACTTCAGCGCCAAATTATAGCTAATTATAGCTAATTTGCCTACAAATGTCAGGTGGTCATAATAATCTGGCATCTCAGTGTATAGCAACTATATTTGGCAGTATATGTAGTCATAGAATAATGATAATCAGGGTTAAAATACCTTTAACATGTTGACATTTCAGATCTGTTTCTTAAAGGATACCTGTCATATAAGAAATACAAAGATTGCCTTTGCCGACCTCTCCTTCTAAAAATGCCATCAGTCAGCAATAGTAACAACCTGTATATTTCTCCAGTAACAGGTGTATTATAAAGTATGTGTTCACTCAATGTTCAACACTGCACAGTCTATGCTGGTATTTAGAATAAGGTATCTGTAGACGTTAACACAGTGTGATCAGTCATATTTAGGGGCACAACAGCCGGCATAGTCAGGGCCGGCCTTAGGCCTGTAGGCGCCCTGTGCGATCCTACCTGCTCGGCCATCCTGACAGCTGCGGGCGCGGCTTCTCTCCCCCTCACCGCTCCGCCATCCTGACAGCAGGCAGCGCTCCTCTCCTCCTTCAGGGGGGGCGGACGAGGGAGCGCTGTCATATCGGATGGCCAGCGCCCAGCAATGAGGGGGAGAGAAGCCGCCCCCAGGACGAGCTGTGTCGGCCGCACGGCGCCCTTGTTGCCATGGCGCCCTGTGCGGCCGCACTGCTCGCACACCCCTAAGGCCGGCCCTGGGCATAGTTGCCTAAGAGCAGTCTCTGCAAGGGGGACATAGTTGCCTAAGAGCTGTCTTTGCAAGGCTGAGGGCTTGTTCACACCATGTACGCAGCACAACTCACTGTGCCGCATATCACCACAATGATGACCATCTCAAAAGGCTGTGTTGCATAGAGTTGAATGAAGTGTCATTTTGTGACACTTTTGTAAAGTTAAAAAAAGCAATAAACAGTGCAATGCGTTATAACAGTGCATTGCATTGCCCCTCACTCCTACACAGCACGCATGCATGTTAGCAAGATGGCTATTGTGTACAAATCTTGAAACAGGTCAAATGAAGGTTAGAAGGAGGTGAACTGCAGGTCAAATGTACCTGTCAATTAATTCTGAATGATCTCAAAAGTATCTCCATCTGACGTGAAACTGATGCCATCAACACTAGCCCAAAGTCCATCAACACAGGCCCGTATACTAGGCCTGTAATAATGTAATATCTGCATCTGGGTTTGGGAACTTAAAAGAATTTTCCTAAAATACTTATCATGCAGAAATTTGGACATATACCTTTGCTCTTCCTCTAGATCAGCAATGATTTGCTCCAGTTCTCCTTGCTCTTCTCGCTCGACAAACTTTAGGATCTGAGCAGGACTTTGTGGCTGACCTAAAGGTGATTCTCCTCCCAATGTGTGACAGTAATGTTGGATAAGAGCGTGCTCATCGTCTCTATAAATGTAAAATATTAAAAAATTAAGAAAATATAAATATTTACTTTAAAACACACATAAAAACATAAGCATGATATATTTACCAGTCTACAGGTAAACCTGGTATATTGTAGCTTGTATGCAAATCTGGATGCCTGGTTGGGGCATCCCAGATTAACCTGCTTACAAACTGTGGTCCAGAGAAGTGTTTAGGTATTACACATTCCATATACCACTGAGATTTGGATATACAGTACTCACATAATCTTTATGGTTTATGTGAAATGTATCACTGGGAAAATTCTCAAGACATTGGAGTGTATTTACAAAATGTTTGCAAAGCTGTTCTTTCTGTTAAAGCCTGATTTTTACATTTGCCCTGAATTATGGCAACTAGATGGAGCCAGGGAGCACAGAAAATAAATATGTATGCCTCCATCTGTGGTGCGAATGTTTAAGTCAGATTTTCGCAGAACAAACAGCTATGTGAACACTTTATAAATACACCCCTAATGTCTGTCGAGTCCCTTTTGCGCTGTCATTTGAACACAAATGCCAAAGCACAGCAGTGTTTTAAGAAAAATAGTGTCCTCCAAACATGTTTGAAAGGGCTGACAGTTTACTTTTTAATATTCTATAGTACAAATAATATTGAAATAAATAGTTTACTTTTTGATTCTACTTTATTGTACTGTCATGTAATGTCCATATACACTGAGTACTTAAAATTGTTAACAGAATTAGAAAACCTGTACACTCTTTTCAAGATAACTAGACTTCAGTTATATTGATTAAGGTATTTGTTAACTAGGTTCCTGAAGCAAATGTCTTGAGTTATCAATGTGAACAGTGTTCCTTAGATAATAGGCATGCATGTCCCAAGATGCACATCCTCTGCTGATTTAATTACACAATGAAGAGTTGCTTTAATTGCACATGCAGTGAAAGTTGAGCCGATGCAGTGGCATTATTAGATGCTGAGAATTCAATAAACTACGAGAACTACAAGGGCTAGATGTAGAGACACAGATAAGCAGTTTTCCCTCATGTCAGTCTCCTGATACTTTTGTGGGGAGGAAATTGTAGCAGTCTTAATAAAACATAAAGCATTTAAACACCAGAGAAAGTGCTTCTGCTAAGGATACAAGACAATATTTCTACGGCCCCTTTTACATGGGTGCCCGTTGATCCATTTCTGCAGGTGATCCTAGACTAATCCCCTGCTCAGTATGGAAACGGATGTCACATATGTGACAACCATGTCTGTTCCAACTTTTTCCTCCATCTTGTGATGGAGGAAAACTAGACCCATGTAATCCCTAAGGGATAGCCGGATGTAAACGGCGTAGTCAAGAGTAGCCATCCACATCTGGTCAGGTCAGGAAAAACAGACCTGGATGCACATTTTGTGCATTTGGTCTGATGAACCTGAACAGACATGGATGGACATCAAGCCTTCATAGGGATACACTAGTCTGTTTTCATAGGACCAAAAAAACTGATGGAGAGCTCATGTGAAAGAGTATTTTAGGTTAATGAAAAATTACATATAGGGCACATTTAGAGAAGTACACCTTATTGGTGTCTCTGCATCTACCTTTTGTATTTCTTATAGTTTATTAAATTATCAGCATTTAATAACTTGACCGCATCGGCTTCACTTTCACTGCACTGTGTTGGTACAACTGTGCAGTAGACAGAATTTTTACCTGCCTGTAAATATACAATCCCATACATGTTAGCTATAAATCTTTCATACAAATGCATATTAAAAAGATGAAATACACCAAATTCAATTAAAACATATTTAAATGCATTAAATTGCATGTAAATTCAGGAAAAATAATGCTATGGAAACAGCTGCATGCAACTGTTACATGCAGTTTATAAACATTAGCTTTTTCTATTCTTCCTGCACATGTCTGTTAAGTAAAACTGTCATGAGAAGATGATTCAGTGACAAATTTTGGGCTTAGCCAGTGAGATTAGTTTTGTCATTGAACAAACACGGTCATTGCAAGACACAAGTGGGATCAGGACAAACATCACTATAGCCAGACTCAGATATGACACTGTCTACAGAGGCACCGTTGGACATATGCTTAAAACGCAGGGTGGAAATGCATGCGCTACATGTGTTGGGTGATCTGAAAAAAAATACAATTTAAAAGGATGAGCAAAAAGGATGTGAAAAGAAATATCCAGATTGCCCAAATTATCGCCAACCTCAGAACAGATCAGATGAGGTGATAATCCATTGTCCATAGTATGACAACCATCATCGGGCATGCAAGTCTGACTGTTCTTTAATGGCTATGGCCAGGTGAATGGTGAATTCAGCCCTATATACTGCTTACAATACTTAAAGCGGCACAAAACTCTCAGCTTTTTTCTCCTTATACACCTCTACACAATGAACATTCTCCAAACATACATTTATTCATGTTTGAAAATAAAGTCTTACTATTTTAATCTCTTTAGAAAGCCTGCTGTGCTCGCTCCTGTGTCTTTTCTTTTCAGGCACATTTCCTGTCCCTTAGGAAGAGCCGTGCACGTTGATTCTGGTCACGTGCACATCTTTCTTTGCCTACAACTGCCATGAGGCAGAGAGGAATCATCCCTCACTGCACACAGCTACCTCCCCCACGCTCAATCTCATCACTATACACACTGTGACAGTTTCACTGCTTGTAATCTCCTTTGCAATGCTCTGAATTATCAAAACTACTTACAAGGGCTTTACAACAAATTTACAACAAACAATCACATTTACAACAATCTACACAGAAAAACAGCTTTATTTCAAATGTAGGAGCCGTATCTCTGACTTTGTGACCAGATTCAGCATGTGAGCTGAGACTCAGAAGAAAGTATGAGGCTGGTGACAGCTCACATGCTGAATATCCTCACAAGCAGCTCTCTTCCCACTCCCTCCTTGGTAAGCCAGGAGGAGAGAAATCAAAGAACATATATTAGTGTGGGAGAGCTGAAGAAATCCTGGTTCCTTGCAGAGTCTAGAGGGGAGGATTCGTAGGTGGAGACTGAGAAGACACACCCTCAGCATGTTGTAGTCCTTCACATGAACCAGCACTGAGGGTGGCTACTTTTTAGCTCACACAGGCACCATGGAGAAGAAAAGTAGCCACCCTCTGGCAGGAAGCTGCATGTGGCTGGAAAAATAAAATGAATTTTGGAGTATTTAGAGCTGAACAATGATGAAAAAAAGGTACACAGTCATTCATTATTTATATAATAGAAGTTATTTTTCTTATTTAATTTCTGAGTTTAGTGTCACTTTAAATTTCTCTAAAGGACATTTGTGTTATCTGCTTATTTATTGTTCACCACTGGCCATATTGCTTTAGTAATTTCATAAGCTACTATTATAGCCCCATTCTAATCAAATTTCTATTTATTTCAAGGATTCTTATGAATTCAGTAGCAATCTAGCACTTACTTGTAATCCTGCCACTTAATAATTTAGTAAAGATTTTGATCTATCAAGATTAAGGTAAGAAAAACATACTCATCATTAACCAATTATTAGTTTGGAGAGGTGTACTGAATGTTCCACTTCAAATGGCCATTTGCTCACAAAACATAAGGAGTAAAGAGGTTTGTTATATCTCCAGATGATTGCTCTACAATTCATGAATATGTATTCTGCAAACCTTATAACAAAACAGAGCCAGTAATGAGGTGACACTGGCTTCTACTTATAATAGAAATCAAGCTGCAGCCAATCTTATAGAAACAAGTAAAACAATACACAAAGGAATGTTAGCTTACCTACTTAGAATGTTCTATTTTAAAAAGGTTGCCTTGTTTTTAAATAGCCCAGATAGCAAGAAATTGTGCTGCAAGTTTGAAAATGACTTGCTAAACTCTTGCAGACTTGCCAAGCTTCACAATTTTGTTGCACAATTACAGCAAGTCTACATTGCAAGTCTCCAGACCAGCGAGCTTGCAGAGCTCTTGCTAAGACCTGCAGGACTCTTGCTGTAGACTTGCCAAGCAAATTTGCTACAAATTCAAAAAGTGTCAACTAGAACTTGTGCTGCAAGTGTTCTGCAAGTCTACAACTTGCCAGGAATGTGCCAGGAATGTGTGCGGCAAGTTAATAAAATTACAATTTAACCCCGACACAAGTTTGTGGCAAGTTATCCTTGCTATCTGGGAGGCTATTCATATAATATATGCAAGTTAATGATACCTTATTACTAAAGTGTACCAAAGTAAAAAGGTGAACATTTGCTATCTTATAGGGAACATCTAGAAAGGTTATTTTGCCTAAGCGGTACATTGAGAAAATCTACCTTTAGTATTGAGCTTTGGTGATGTCATGACTGTGCGGCTTACTGCTCCGTGCTGTGAAAAATGCTACAGTGCAAGGATTTGAGGTGGGATTGGACTTGAGAAAGGGGACTTTTTCTCCCTTAAATCTTCCTGTTCCACCTCCATCTGTCACCAGGTGTCCTTACTCTCTTTACTTTGTGAATGGCAAACATTTTGTATACTCTCTTGTACTTAGATTTCACAATTTTTGGCTATCTATGTGATGGTTCCTATATTGCATACTGTAACCTCATGCCTGATGTCTATAGCATAGGAGCCTGAACTGTGTTTTGTCTAAAAATATAAAAAAGAACAAAAGTGTTGATACGACTTCTCTTGGTATGCTGACTTATTTATATCATTGTACATTGATTTGAGAACTCTTTTTTATGGGGAGGTCCCTTTACAACCAATTATCTATGCTTGTTTGCCTCCAAATTCTTATTTAAAGGTGTGTCTTATCCATTATCTTCTAGCAGTGCAAGGATTTCCCTGTTGTGCTTCATTCACTATGAGGATCTGTGATTCTCTACCTCTCCCTGCTGCTTCCTAAAAATTCCCCACCAGTCAGCAGGGGGAAGCTCTACAATGAGAAAGCAAAGCCCTGGTCCTCTACCAAAATGGCCACCTCTACACAGAGATGCAGTGCAGACCAAGGCATAGGAAGTCATTACTGGCAAAAAGATCAGTTGCAAGTAGTCAACCTACAGGTATTGCTGGTGACCAGTCCTTTGCCTTCTGCGTTTTTTTTTTTGGGCACAGCTTACACATTTTAAGTCTGTTTTTAAAGCGTTGGGTAAAAAGTATTAAAGTGATTCTTGTATTTAAAGCTCACGTGGACACTATCATACTGCTTTGGCTTCTTTACACAATCCAAAATTATAACTGGCTAATGAACTTTCACCTCAATAACCACTAGAGTCCTTAATAGACACCATAGCCCTAAGCTTCACTATACTGTATAAAGCTTGATGTGAAGGATTACTGTTCTCTGTAAAACACTAAGTAATATGTTTGCACTAAACACAGTACATATACAGTAGGTAAATGAATCATCAATCAAGAACGTATATGCAACCTTCTCCCCAAAACAACACATTTTTATTGTGTTACTCCCAATGAGCAGTGTATGGGTAAATGACAAACAAGAGTATTTTTAAAATAATAATAAGCTATAGTTTCAGTCAAGGAAATCATTAATTGTGCTGTAAAATGGCGCTCAAGCATGAAAAAGTGAAAATAACATTTCATTTGTAATTAATTTTGCCAAAGTGGCCCTGTGCGTGTGATAATTTTAAATCATAGCTAGCTACTAAAGGGATTATTAAAATGAGTTTTGATATTCTAACCCACAACAATACTGTAATTTAATCTGTTCTGCAGCTAAGACTACAAATAAGTATAAGAGGATTGTTACCCAATTACAATCGGTAGGGGAATTATAGTGGACAAATTACAACCAAATGCAGACCCGGCTAATAAATCTTGGAAATACCATTGATCTTTATTTTCTCCCTAAGACACAAGGGGTGTGTCCTCAGTGTGTACAGATGCGTATTTGGGTAAAGTAGCTGCCATTGCATGTCTGTTATGTCCCAAGTCATGGTAACATGTGCTACACGCAGTGTGATGCGGTGCAATTTATTCTGAATGGTAGACACCCCAATGCACCTTGCTGGCGGCCGTGCATTGTGGCCTTAATGTAACACACTTAAATGCATGGCATTACGCGGATTGATGTGCATGTGCAATAGTGTGAATGGGCCCTCAGGGAGGGGATATTCTTTCACGTGGATGAGTTACTATTCAGCTTATCTGGCAAGAGACATTGGATAAAAACATGTATTCACCCCATCCATTCTATAACTGCACACGTACAATATTACAATATTCTGTAACCTAACAAATATTACTCACATGCTTCCAGTGGCCGAGCTACTGTCTGTGAACAAGGATCCATTGGTTCTTTCCATTTGTGCCAGCCTAGCAAGGGGGGGAAAAAAAAAGGCATGTTTACTGTAGTAGATGAATACACTTTAAATCAGCAGGGAAACAATTTTGTGCCTTATCTTGGCCCTAACGACCAGGCCAGGCAGCTCATCCTAAAACAAACATGATGGAGGACAATCCAACATAAAACATATCTGACCATAGCCCATTGCTGCACTTGAAAACTGTTCAGGGGATAAGAAAAGTCATGTGATAACGACAGTACGTACAAGGACAGATGCAGTTGTTATGTGAACAGATTTCATCCTGTAACATTTCATTTTTTTAATGGCTGAGAAGATAACATTAGGTGAAAAAGTAAACTAGTGGCCTATAAGGAATAAAACAATTGTAATTAGTAGGGATGCACCAATACCGATACTAGTATTCGCCCAAATTCTCCGATACCTTCCCCGGTACCGGAACTTCCGGTCGGAGAGGGATTTCCTCTGACCGGAAATCCCCCTCTGCCAGGACCCAGCTTCTCGGCCATTCAGGAAACTGGGTGGCAGGTAATGACCCAACTCCCTGATTTGTTGGAAAGCCAGCTCAATGCTGATTGGCTGGGAAACCGGTTTCCCGGTCAATCAACATCGAGCCAGCTACCCGAGCAATCAAGAAGCTGGGCAGCGGGTAATGGCACGCCTCCTGATTGCCCTGGGATGCCAGCTCCATGCTAGCAGTATCAATACTCGATATTGGCGATTACCGAAATAGAAAACATCGGTACTCGTACAAGATAACGAAAAACTGGTATTGGTGCATCCCTAGTAATTAGTGATAACTGGTCAGCATATCGCTAGAAAGGTTTTGAAAGGATTACAAAATACCTGTTGCACTCCTAATTAAGATGCAATGCATCATGGCCAAAATGTCCGTGTGCTTCAGTAGACCGTGAGCTAAGCTTACAAACTAAAGCCATAGTAGGCACACCCCACAGTCTTTCTACCCACATACATTGCCTTATTTAATGTGTCACATAACATAGACATCCCAATAAAAAAAGATAGTGCTATTTGATGAGACAAAAAAAGTGTGGCCAAGTTTAAAGGATCAGAATTATGCAGTTTTTAACTAAGCCAGTGAAAAAAAGATATCATCCCTATGAGCAGGCGCAGCAACAAAACTGCAGCATGTACAGTTACTGTATGGTATTCAGAGTTATTAGGGGAGTGTTGGCTTGTGTAGTATTGTTTATACCATTTTTATATTCATTTAATTTCAGCTAGTTACAGGGGCATATTAACTCTCTATACAGCTTAATTCCTTTATAGCTCATGCAATCTATTGTTTTGTTGCCATTGAAAATCTGGCTACTGGATCTTTACCATCGTATTTCATTTAAAGATGAAAACTGTTATTGTTTAACTATTCAATCAGCATTCATTATAGACCTATATTTGAATCTCAGACAATCATGTCATCTCACCTGCTGAGTTATGCCTGGTTCACACCTAGGCAGCATAGTTTTTGCACGTTTCTACGCACGGTTATTTGCACATTTAATGCACGTTTGGCACATTTTTAGGCGCATAAAAATGCGCGCACATGAAGACACATGTTTTGACTGGCAGCTTAAAGCGGATCTTTACCCATATCTTTAAAATAACAACAAACACACCTTTAGAAATGTTTAGTAATGGCAATTTACAAACACTTACATATAGATAAGTGCAGGCTTATTATTATTTGCATACCTTATTTCTCTTTTCTTCCCCAGTCTTCTGACAGTGGCCATGTTTACTAAGGGCAGATTACTAGCTCTCCTATTACTTTCTGGATTTCTGGCACATGTGACTAGATATATGACTAGGACATGTGACCAGGACATGTGACCATGCACGTCATCTCAGGGTAGAAAAATGTCTGAGATTACAGATAAAATTTCCCAGCAATGCTCTACTGATGACAAGGCAATCCCAGTGTGCATTGCTTTGCCAAACTGAAGTCATTTTGCCCTTTCAAAGCAGGAAGTGAATACTCTGCAAGTGTAAGTATTTTAAAATCCCAGCATTTTACAACTGACCTGTCTATGTTATTAATAATCACCATACATAGAGGGATGCATTGGTAGAATTTAGATTTTTGAGGTTTGCTTTATGAAACACTGCGGCCAATAGACAAACGCACCCGAAAATGTGCAACATACTTATGCCACACGTTTCCTGGCATTTCCATTGAAGTCTAAAAAATCTGATGTACTTTTTTCTGTGTTTGGCATTTTCCTGCTCAGGTGTGAACAAGAGCCATTGGAAATCATGGGATTTCATGTGTTGGTCCTTTAAAAGTTCTTCTCCTACTGCTCAAAAATGCCTAGGTGTGAACCAGGACTAAGGGAGTGGTTGTATATGATCTTATGGCAGTAGCTTGGCCGTTGATACATTAGAGGAAGTTTGGGTAGTTGTATAGTCCTCAAATTAAACAACATAAAAAAGGCACCAAAAATTTGCAGTTTACAAGTGACCTAATTTTATGGTTATTTGATCAAATTTGAGGCACAGACTTATGACAAAATGTGTTTTTTAAATTAGTACAACGGTGACTCCAAGTCATAAAATTTTCATTTAATAGGGCATAAAACATAAAAGGACTTAAAAGTGTTTTACAGTCAGATGCTTACAGACATGAAAGTAGCTCTGCACCTTTAATTTTATTATTCCAGAACACTATGCTTTTCTGAGGCACAGGATAGCAATTATGTTTGAAGGAAGTGTCTCTGCTTTGAAGTAAACTTCAAGAATTTTTCAGTGATGAAAGTCAAACAAATAAACGTATTTTTAATAAATATGTAAATAAGTGTTCAGTTTCAGCCTTGTGAAACACATCAGTATTACGAGGCTGTGCACCCCTCTCCTATCCATTTCTCCTACTCACATTGGATAGGAGATGACAATGTTGTCAGACATACACAAATAATAAATGTATAAGCATGTTTTAGATCAAAGACTTGTTTTCTAATTTGCACATTTCCCACAAAGTACAAGCTTAGTAGCAAACTTTATCCAGGTTATCTTTTCATATTAGCAACTGTGGAATCTTAGAAAAGATGATGGCACACCACATATTGATACTGATTGATGGTAATATGCAAAGAGCAATGACATGCAATAACTTATGACATCCAATCAGTATTCAGCAGCTTACAATAGGTAGTCTAATAAAGGCTGATCTCTCACTGGTTGATTTCTGTTAGTGTGTACTATCAATATTTGCAGTTTTATTAAATTAGGTTTTTACTAGAAATGGTAATAAGAGTAGTAGTACAGACTTGGTGACTTAAATGAACAAGCATATGTCAGTAGAACAGTGTTTACCAAACATTGGTCAGTCTTATGTTACCATGATGGCTACTGATATGGGTTACTGCATACCCCGTCTGTTAAGTACGTAGTCATGATTTAGTGATAAAAGAGGTTACGTTATCAACTGCACTGTGGTTAAAAAATAGAAGCAACTGTGTTATGCTAACACAATAGATACTACATTTTCACGATTCATGTACAAGGAGAACACACACAAAAAAGCACTGCTCCTTCACACCACAGGAAAAAATGAGCTGTGTGCTTGCCACAGGGAGCATGTCCTCCCTCCAATATGAGCTCATACAAACAGAAGAAAAGCTGGCTGCACACTGGATTCTGCTGGGATAGTTTATTGAAGCTTGAAACACAACACTGGTGTCTGACCCAAAGTCCATCCCCTCTGACACGTTTTACCCAACCACTGGCTTATTGTAGTGATGTTACGATTTATGTTGTATTGTTATGTTTCCTTTCCCAATTAATACAAAGGTCTTCACATAATACATATCCCAGCTACCTATATGGCGAGTGCTACGGATTCCAGGCGCATATACCACTTTTCTACTGCATGTCAAAAAGTGGATATTTGTGCTCTGTGGTTCAAATCCCCATACTACTCCTTGCACTTTGCAGGTGTCAATGAGTGAGCATACTCTCCCACAGCACGGGCTACCCAATACCAGAAGAGGCATAATAATTCATAATGCAGATACAGTAGGATACACTGACTTCTACTGGGCTGTGTACAGTACAGCTTTTCAAACCCAAGGCAGTGATATTGGGTATGTATAAAGTCAGTGATACACATCTCACATTTTGGGATGTGCAGCACTAGTGGGGGGGCGGCGTTGCTGTTTTGCCTAGGGCAGCAGCATTTGTAAATACACCGCTGACTAGGACTATAAATTATTTACATTTGCAGAACTTGCACTAACAGCTGTGATAATACTTGTAACTGATATAAAGTAAAGCGTAGGTCAAACAGAGTTAATGTCAGACATAGCATAATAGTCTGAAGGGCGTGGATACCACAAACACACACAAAAAAAAATCGAGCAAGGAGAACATTCCGAGGTGTACCTGTCTACCCAAACCAGCCCTATAATGTTTTAGATCAGCAACCTTGCAAATTGAGGGTCTCATGTGTTTTAATGTGCAGCGAAAGACATGCATTCTGAACAGTTTGCATTCATAATGAGCTGTGTAGCACTGTCTATGCAACATTGTCTAAGATGTGAAAAATTAAAATAATGTTCGCTCTCTGACCCCCATATCCGAAGAAGTGACATGGTCTGCTATGGCTATCAGTCTCCATGATTGAAGCGTACATAATAGTGTTATAATTATAAGTTACAAAATATAGATCTTCACAATTAAATTAGCCAAATACTGCTCTTTCCAGCCAACGTGATGTGTTTTGTTCTGTTCAGAATACACAATTACTAAAATATTAAATGAATCCTTAATGCTTCTAACTCAATAGATTTAACATACAATTATATGAGTTAATATAGGATGAAAACTGGATGAAGCTGTATCACAGCTAGCACTAATTCCATACCTTTGTCCTGATCTGCCAGTGCAGTAAATGGCGACAGCATAGAACACAAAAATCTTTGCAAGTTCAGCGTTGGGAATATATTCATACCAAATCATCCTGACACTGTAACTTTCAATTACTGCTAACAATTAATAACAGATTAATCTACTGTAGAAGCCAAAATAAATGATAGAAATACAACAGCAGAAGACAGACCACGATAGATCATGATTCCTATGCAGTATATGCTCCAAAATGTGTTTTTTGTTGGACTTGCCAGTTTTCCTTGTGTATTCTAGGACCTGTGAGGCTGATTTGCAAAACCTAAACTAATGAAAACTTTTGCACATATTACATGCTATTACAGTTGATTTAGTAAAAGAGTCACATCTGTTCAGTTAGCAAGGTAAATGGTAACTTTGCAAAGTGTATGTTCGCAAAGTTTAGTGAAAGGGTTGAAGCCATATTCACTTTGTATGCCCAATACTATGCAAGGTACAGGATTTTTGCTAGTGCATGGAAATGAACACAGCTTTACCTGGTTCACTAACCTACAGTAAGTAAAAGTTCAGTGTAATGTGAAAATACACTTTACAAAGGGGACAGTCTTTATTCCTTTAGCAAAACATCACCAGTATGTCTAATAAAGACAGAAAAGGCATGAGAAACAAAATTATTAATATGACTACCAAAAAGGAAATCATGAAAGAAAAAAAAAAAACTAATGCCAAAAAACACACTTATTTTCAAAAAATAAAATGATGAGAACATGTATATTCAAATTGTGGTTTTATTTTATAAGCAAATCCTCCAAATAAGACGTGTGGATGGTTTCTTACCTGCTGGCATATTGCTCTATTCTGGAATGTGTATCATCATCAAATAATTCCGGAGATTGCAATGGACTAGAATTTAATAGAAAACAAAAAAGATTTAAAAAACAAAAACACAAAAAAAGGTTAAGGGCTGTTCTACATAGGTGCCCACTGTGCACTCATTTGCATTCAATTTTCTATACAGCAGGTTGGACACCGCTGAGATAGTGATCCATGGGGCTTTGGAGTCAGTACTAAATATGTTCTGTTGATTTGAGCTACAGACTTGCATTTATATCAGACTCCAAGTCCTGTTTACTGACATTATGTGCTCCCCATATTGTTAGAAACCAGTCTGCTTTGTTCATTCACTTCTACTAGGCCTGTGGGAAATGGAACTGACTGCAAATGAGAAATAGGTAAATTGTACACTTAGCCCCTGTATACGCTAGCCCAAAAACAGACCGTGAAATTTAAAACTCTGTACCCAAATGAAACTATTTATTAGACCTGGGCAATTTTAGACAATATACTCACTCAAACTGGTCTGGCCACATGCTGATGAGTGTAATAGGGCTGTAAGAGAATAAGGAGAGCAAGAGAGAGACACTTTAATGCCATGTAAGTGACAGCAGAAAAACCACAAAGCCCATCCTTTCTTTCCCCTAAAGAGGCCATACAAAGGTTTTGAAAGATTAACGCTCCTAAGCAGGATTCCTGGAGGGCTGCTATTAGAATTGTGCAGCACAAATGCAGTACATGTGCTAAATTATTGCATTCTCCAGTAGTTCCATATCAGAACACTGCTATAAGTATTTTACCTAATAAATGAATGTGCACCAGGAATTGCAATGAAAGTTCAACGGAGCTTCAAGCTGAGTAAAAGAATCTGATTGTGCCAGAAATTAATAGCAGCACAGAACAATACAGAAAACAAGAAGCACATCCACAGAAATTACCCTGAATAAAATTTACTGTAGGTAATTGAAATACAGTGAATGAAAGCTGTGGCCATACAATAGCAAGATGATTCCCTCATAGCCCAGTTCAAATGGTACTGCAAATGAAATGTTTAATTTTAAAAAGTATTAGCTATATGTGTTTAAATCAGATAAAACCAGATAATTTAACATTTTATTTACCAAAGAAAACATGTAGTTAATATAAAAAGTTTAAACTATAAATTTTAGAATTTATGTAAATTCCAACAATGTGCTTTCTTTGTACCCTCCACCTATAACACAAAACAATTTCGATTGCAAAGTTGTAATATTTATTAGTACAGGTAACACAACAGTACTTATAAGGAGAATGAGCAATCTCCACTTGAAAACTGCTAATAAACTTGCATCATTCAAATAAAATTTGTGAAGGTCAGCACTGGATTTAGTTCCTCAATTTTCCCAAAAAATATGATGGCTATGGTTTTTGTCAATGTAAATCTGCCAAACGATTACAATACATCTAAGCCTGAAGAGAATATTCATACACTGAATCACATCCAATGGCTTCTAATGTAAGTGCCACAGCAGGCCTCCTTCAGAAAACGCTAGATGCCTGACTTTATTCTTTTTCAGTCACAGACCTATAACAAGCATGCTGTAAATGTGTGTCAGAACTCCTTTTCTCTTTACATGTTGCAGGCCAATGACTTAGCCAGCATGGAAGTTAAAACATCTGAATGGTATTCGCTAATAACAGAGTCCCTTTAAGTCATAGGTATTTCTCCGTAAATTTGGTATTGCTTTAAACAGCTTCTCGCCTCAAAAAAATTGTAACTGAACACATAAATACTACATGCATTACTTCTCAAACGTAGGAAGCATCAAAGGCTACATGGTTCTTAAAATGTATTTAACCCACGTTTACCTTGACCTCTAATGTCACATACTGGTCTTCTCCCCACGAAAACGACCCTCATGGCTATAGGGTGACTGTTTATTGTTACCTGTTCTTCAAGCACTTACTGTATTATTACCAACATATTTGTTCACTATTGTGATCTAGTTTGTCACTTTTGTTACTGGGACATATCCCACATTGCATGTCTAGATTGCAGTCTGCATACTACTACCTGATATACAAGTACAATGCATGTCAATATTTGTTGATATCTGTATTGCTCTTTTCCACAATAAAAACTCACATGCTAAAAAAAAAAAATGTAATTAAATGGTTTAAAATGATTATTGTCATTGTTATTATTGTTTTAAATGTTTGTATTATTATGTGTTCATAATTAATGTGGATCACAGCCTCTGGTCTGAATGTAGGTCACAAACTGGAAAGGGCTGGAACCTCTGCTATAGACTGTTTTTGCACTATAGGTTCATAATATAGCCTGGATGATCTCCATATTAAGGAGGCGTGTGGTGGCAATGAGATTTACATGTTTCCTAAAATAAAGAAAACATGATGCAGTTGACTTACGTCTCCATGTTATCTCCTTCAAGCACAGTCTGGACTGGTAAGTAGCCTAATCTGGGATGCTTGTCATAGTACTTTTTGGAACGGAACTTATTTTTCAGCACCTTTGTAAAGTCTCGAACATCTTCTCCCGATGTAGTCTGAGGGCAGAAAGAAAATTGAATAAATACATCTATATGAAACAGATGTTACTATTCAGTTAATCTAGCTTGCCGCCACTCTACTATTTCTCAGTGGGGACCTCTTGGACTTGATAGGTTTGGAATGTTGAGTAATTTAAATAAAGAATGCTTGGCAGGAGTTGTCCTCAAGCCAACCAGATTGACACTGTTCTGCTAAATCTGCATAATAATTAACACATACATTTGACTTTTGAATAAAAAAAGTATGAAAGACTAAGATAGAGACGCACAGAACTGGCAGCAGCCCAACCCCAAGGAAGCAGGGCTAAGAAAAAATAAATACATCTAGGTGTTTGTGACAGCAGAAAATCAAAGTAAAATGTGCTAAGCAGATAATAAAGAGCATACACAACTTATACATAACGTTCAGGTAAATGTCACCATAATACTTTTTAATAGTGCAAATTAAATTTTTCAGTATGTGCCAGAGGTCTTAAAGTGACCCTGTCCACCACATGGTCGAAACAAAACCAAAAACAAACAAAACCCATGCTGTGAAAGAAAGTGATAAACAAATAAGCTACATTTTTGTTAATAGCGAAGGTACTTGAATGTATTTTTAAGATTAGCTCCTGAACTTAGTGTCACTTTAAGGTCAAGACTTTTACCTATACACATTTAAAATAAAATACAGTTTTACTTTAATATTAAATATGTTGTTCAGCCACAACTAACATAAAATCAGTTTGAGAAAATTGTGAATTTAACTCTCTGGCCTAATAGTGTTTATGCATCAATAAAAAGTGCCATCTCTTGTAAAGTATAACTGTGCCAAGGAAAAGGTTGAGTGGAAAACCCTACAGTGAAAAAATGATGTTTCTTAATTAAGAGATTATTGTTATGTGTTGCAAGCAGTTTCATGATGGAAATATCTATTTTTTTTTCTAAGAAAGGCCACGAATTACCATTAAAACACACACACTATAACAGCAGACATTTCTATGCATTCCCTTTTTATAAATGAAGTACATTGCAGCTCTATAGATGAAATACAAAAGGTTAAGATAGTAATATTACATTATCATGATGTGTGTATCTTTAAATGGTTTACAATATTAGTCAGCAGCCTTGTAATAGGAACACATCAACAGTAATTACAAACTAAGCACACTGATCCTCAAGGGGGCAAGAATCAAATTTAACCTCAACACATTTAAAATAAGAAGGGAAATTCTGTAAATTCTAGTGTGATTGAAAAGTTCTATTCTAGCCTTAAGAACTGTTTACAGTTATAGATAAAACCTCTTTCACTTAGAGACAAATAATCTTTTCCACTTAGAAGTCCTAAATGCTTTTTCCAAGCTTCTAAAATGATGAAATAATTCGTTTACGGTTTGTTTTGCCTTAGAGTAAGAATCCTCTAAGTACATATTTTCTCTTTAGCAGTTTCAAAATGAAAACATGTTCTCAAGTGGAAGTGATGTTTCTGAGTGTTTATGGACTTCTCCTCCTCTTCTGATGCTCGGTTTGAACTTCAGCAGACCATCTTGACCATGTCTACATGCCTAAATGTATTTAGTTACTGCCATGTGATTGGCTGTGAAGATATTTGTGAAGAGGTGTACCTAATAAAGCGGCCAGTGAGTGTATAACACTCTAGCTGATTGGCTGGGAAGCTGGCTTCTCGGCCAATCAGCATCGAGCCAGCCGAACAGGCGGCTGGATGATGATTGACTGGGAAGCCGGCTTTCCAGCCTATCAGCATCGAGCCGGCATCCCGGCCAATCAGTAAGCCAGGAGGCGGGTCATTACTTGCCGCCCGGGTTCCTGATTGCCAAGGAAGCCGGCTCCATGCTGATTGGCTGGGAAGCCGGGTTTCCAGCCAATCACAATCGAGCTGGCCAAACAACATGGAGTCAGTTTCCGGCTTCCTGATTGCCTGGGAAGCAGGCTCCTTGCCAGTCGAAGCACTGGTATTGGTACTCGGTATCGGCGAGTTCCGAAAGCAAAATATCGGTACTCGTACTTGATACCGAAAAAACGGTATCGGTGCATCCCTAATTGTTACGCTTAGTGCTACAAGTAAATAAAACAAACATTTTTTGTCAGGTAAATATAAAATACTGTATATAAATATTCTGTATTCTCACTTTCAGCAAGCAGGTTCATTCTTTGCGGAAGAAGCCGGCCGGGAATGCATTCAGATACCAGCACAACTTCTTCCCTGCTAATGTACTTTTACAACCTTACAAAGAATGGAACTGACCTAATGTAGCAAACTGTTCTGCTGTCCTGTTCACACCCTAGTCATCAGCGTTTTTGCGCATATTAACGGACATTTTGTTTAGCGGCTAACCTAGCGGGTTTTGCATGAGTTTTGCGTGTTAGACACGCGGAGATGTACATTTTATACAGCAGACTGAAATGTATTGTGGTGAATGAACAAACGTGCGCAAAAACGTGCACAGAAATGTGCAAAACGCGTGTATCACACATTTCCATTGAAGTCTATGCGGCCAAACACTCTGTAATCTGCCCAAAAAAGTTTGTGTACTTTTCACAGCTTTCAGCATTTTACAGCTTGTGACAAAACTCTCAGGTGTGAACAGGGGCCATTGAAATGAATAGGATTTCTTGTGTTGAGAGTTTTATTGCACTTAGCTTTGAGCGTCAAAATGTCTAGGTGTGAACAGGGACTAAGACTAAGTGCCATACTGATTTAAGTGAAACATTTGTATCTTCACTGCTGCCATCATATTGCATTAGTATTTTGCTCTCTGACATCTGACCAGGCAATTATTTTACTGTTGCAAATTATATATGAATTATTAATTATTAATGGCTTTTCTTCTCACAACACAAATAATAATTATTTTTTTATCACAGTATTGAATACGTTATTGTGACAGATGTTGGTTAATATCAATGACATAAAGCAATATTTACTAAAAGGTCTCACAAAAGGTGCAATTCCCTAAGCTATTAAGTATGCAATTTGTCAGAGCATTCAGTTTTTTTTACCCACGTGTCTTGCCTGAGGAAGCGGATACTGAGTGACCCTGAAACATTGCACTTGTGTGATATGTCGCATCCACGTCAATAAAGACTCATCATATCCGTAATTGGAGTGCCGGTGTTCCATTCATATCATGTCCATGTGGCGGTGCCATCCGTCAACCACCGTTGCACCCACCTGCTCATTCTTGGAATAAGCAGTCAGGAGTGCGATGGGTATATGGATTTCTGTTATTTTTGGCTTTCATTGGCTCTCGTGGCAAATAATCATTAAGCTTAGTGACCAGAGTCCTACACTGTGTGGTGAAGTTGAAGACAAAGCAATGGGATTCTGAGTCAGTGACATTTTTCACATTGCTAGACACATGTATTGATGTCGGCTTATTCAAGTATGATTTATATAGTTGCTAAGTGGTGTGCAAATCAATGCTAGATTGTAGCAGAGCATAAAAAGTTCTGATTTAAGCAAAGAGAAGAGCCTTTGCAAGACAATGGGAGCAGTCGGAGAATAGGAAAAAAATTGAACTTCTGTGTGATTATAGGTTGATTTAATGGTATTTTAAATTCTTATAAACCTACAAAGTGCAGCTCAGAACATTGTAATTTATGGTAATGCAAAACAAGCTAGACAATAGTAACTGATAATACTCTTGCTGGCATGGATTGTCAGGACATGGAAAAAAGTAGGTTTAAAAAGTAAAGATAATCATAAACACAGCCATGGTGTACAGTCTCTATAAACAATTGCCCTTTTTTATATATATTGTAGCAGGTCATCATGTAGAGAGCAAGGAGAGGTCCTGCCCGGGGTTTATGTGTCACCCAGATTCCTCTCTTACACCCTCCGGAACCTATAGCAAGCCCCAGGTTTTACGCTTATAGACTGCTGAATTGCTGAATAATGCTCATTTCTGTACCGATAAGAAAACACTAGGTGGTATTAGAGGCAAAGCAGGAGCTGACCAGGAAAGCAAGCAGTGGAAAACCGTGAGCTGATCAAGTATCAGGGCAGCGAGAGGAGGTAGACAACAGATGATCATAGATGGGGGAAAGGGCGAGGCAGAACAGACAAACTGTTAGCTGATCAAGGACATGGGGAAGTGAAAGAGTGGAGGAATAGGAGATATAGGAGATTCTGCTGTATACAATGAACACTCACAGGAAACAGTGACAGTTTCCCCAGAAAAAAAACATGGATTTTTAATCCCTATTAATAGTATATAACAGAGGACATTTGTGGAAGTTCACCCTAAAATGACTCAGTGAACATTAAACAGTCAGATAACACATGTACCTTGACAAAGTGGAAAATTGACGGCTTTAAGCAGTGACACCATGCAACCTTTGGTATTCCTCAGCCTCCCTCATGCTATCTACATCTTTGACAACATCAGAGCACAGAGGAGGCACGTTCCAGCAGTTTTTACTTAGGCCAAAGGTTGCATGGTGTTGCTGGTAATAGGCAGTATTCCAGTGCTGATTTGTGGACAACCAGAGCACGTTCCTTGAGTACTTCTAGGGTAATTGTCCACTTTAAGGAGAGTTTTTTAATGTAGCTCCCACATGGAAATTTGTGGAACAGGAGGAAAGCTTAATGTGCAAATTATACTCCCTTGCAAGTTATAAATCAGTCCCTGTTATGTTTATTTGCCAGTTTAAAAATTGCTTGGGTATGCTCTGTCGGTTACTCAGTCTTCCTTTTACAAAGTGTTTTGGCAACATATTTCTTTAAAAAAAGTATTTTATATTTAGAGCACTGACTTTCCAGGCCATGGGTCCCAGCAGTTTTCTCAGACTGGCACATAAGAGAACAGGAGGCAGTTCCTGCTTTCAGTATTTGCATCGAAATGCCCTTAAAAGCTGGACATACATAGACAGTATTAGAGGCTTGGTAGAAATCTTTCGAAACAAACATACTTGTCCCACTCACTGTGTAATATATACACTATTTTCATATACAGGGATTTATGAAGATAGTAAGCTGTTGGTGAAAGATCAAATTTCCTAGCTTTTACAAAATTGTGTGCAATAATGTCAATTCTTGTAAACTGACAAGCCAAAACTCCATTGCAAATGCTAGCTATGAAGAGTTAAGCAAGTACAGTAAACTCTAAGTTATCCAGCAACAATGGGGATCGGTAGGTGCCAGATAACTGTAGTTTCTGGTTGCTTGAGAGTTAAAGGTAACTCATGCAACACCTCTCCCCAAACGGTACCCCACCCTCCCAGAACCCCATTCATCTGCCGCAGCCGACAGGTGAATGAAAGCAGCCGGGAGCATTGGCCAGATTGCTATTGGCTATTTTAAATTGCAATAGCCAATAGCAGGCTGGCTATTGAAACCCCGCACACTGAGTAGAGGAGCAGCCCTGAGAAAGTTCTCTTTCAGGTCTGTTCCTCTACTCAGTCGGCTGGAACAATAGCCAGCCTGCTATTGCAATTTGAAATAGCAAATAACAGGCTAGCTATTGAAACCTTGCCCAACAGTAGCCAGCCCACCTGGCTATTGTGCTCCTCTGCTCAGAGGGTGAGCACAATAGCCAGCCTGCTATTGGCTATTGCAGTTTGAAATAGCCAATAGCAGGCTGGCTTTTTCTCTCCATTGTTTACATTCTGCTGCCAACCGCGGAATCTAGCTGCTGGTCAACAGCAAGATGTAAACAAAGAATTTCATTAACTAAATACATTTTGTTGCTAATTACATTTTTTAGTGTGCACCAAGCAACCAGCATTTTTTTATGTGCATCAAGCCACCGAAAAAAAACAATAAAAAAAATAGAGGACACGTCTTTAATTTTTTTTTGCCAGTTGCTTGAGAGTGCCGTTTGCTGGAATGTTGGATAATGGGGAGTTTACTGTACTTCAGATATCAGCAATGATACAAGATTGCTAGACACTAAATTATGCACATAAGCTTGGGCAGAGTACTCTAGAACAGGCAAACTACATATATTTACCAATAGGTATAGTGCATATTGCATGGGTAAGTGAACTAAAACAGTTTGCAAAACATAGGCATAGCTGTGGCTTGTGAAGAAATGAGACCCAATATAAAGTGGTATCCAGAACTCTTAGGCTGTGACCTTTCTTTGAACATGCTTTAGCATTATTGTAAGAACTTGTAAAACTTCATATCAGACAAACCTGTCCATGCAGATTCATCAAAGTAATGAGACTTTTACAAAGGAACTTTGAAATGATACTCACTGGTATGCAGTATTCCACCATTGGGTGATGTAGCTTATGGCCCTTTGCTGTCCTTCCCGAAAAGAAACAACTCTGACAAACATCATAATTGAAGTGCTTCAGACTACGATACCTAAAATAAGTGCATAACACGATATATTAATGCTATAAAAAAATTGATTTTTTACAACAACAATGTGCAATAAAGATATGTATGACGTCACTGGCTTGCTCTGGTAAGAAGCTACAGGAAACAGCAAGCCACGTGGTAACCAATGGCAAGCAATAAGAAATTAGATTTCATGAGGCTGCCACATATAAGAGGCTAAATGCTCCATTCCCATTGGTGTCAATGATCTACTTCTTACTATAACTATTTGTACTTTCTAAAATGAGAAAAGATTTCGGGCATGGTACAACCTTTCATTCAGTGGAAGGAACTAAGTATGCCTGCTTTTGTGTGCCTATGTAAAAATCTGCAATTATAACCACAGTTTACTGACTTTTGTGACCACAGTTTTTTGAAGCTTAAATGCCCAGAGCAAGTTTAGCAGCATTGGTATGCACTGTGGGCAATATCCCGGTGACTAATTTTCTGATTGACAGCGAGTCTGAGCATTAGACACACACACACAGTTGCACATTGCAAATAATATACTATAAGGATGGGCAAAGGGCATTTTGAATGTGGACCTATATAGTCGTATTGTAATAACAAAAGTGCATTTAAAGCTTGTTTATTAAATAACTTTAAAACCATTCTTTGAATAGTGATATTTCCCAGCCAAAGCAGGTTAACTGCAAAGTCACAGCGTAGTCTCATAAATAATTACAAGCAACTATCTCCCTTTACGGCATTCTCTACCAGTTAATCAGTCTTAGGCACCTTATCCGCTAATTGCAATATAAATTTAGTGTCGAATAATAAGAGCAGTGTTAATAACTCTGCCACAAAGGATAAGGTAAGATTTTTAACAGTTAAAAGAAAAGCAGACAACATGCAGTAAAATGAGATTTTTGTACTTACCATAAAACCTTTTTCTCGTAGTACACTGAGGGACACATGAGTTCAGAAATAGTCAGGTTATATTGCCACCTTCAGGAGGTTGGGACACTAGCAAACAAAAAGCCAGCTCTCATTTAACCCCTTCTCTAGCCAGCAAGTGCTATGTCTCTGGACCTGAAAAAGCACTCGCTGAAAAGTACACAAATGTTTGGAAAGTGCAGATATGCATTGGCCTCTGCATAATGCAGAGGCCAATGCCCGAAGGTTACATTCCAGCCGCCAATGCTAATACTGAGGAAGTGCCGACCCTGATATGCAGAGATGAAGTCAAGCAGCAATTTAGCAAAAAAAAATCTTTATTGAACTTATTGAGAAAAGAAATCCATGAAGAAAAGAAGGCTAGCCAAACACAGATTTTTTTTTTATAGCAGAGCTAAAGAAAAGGCGTCCAAGTCATGCTAGTAAGAGGATGAGTTATATGGGGGCTGGCTAACATATTTTCTTTTTGCCAGTGTGCCAACCTTCTGTGGGTAGCAGCATAACCCTACAGTTTCTGAATTTCTGTGCCTCAATGGGTGAAAAAAACAAAACATATTGCGCTATATTTCTAATACAGTTCCTTTTATCTGGAAAATATCTTGAATGTAATTATTGCTTTGCAGCTAAAATGGCTGGTTTTAATACTGGGATCTATGATCCAGGAGGAGATGCACAATAAAAAAAAGTATTTTTCTTTGTAACCCCCTTAAAATCCAATTTACTCCTTGTGTTCACCGCAGCATACATTTTATTTTATTGTATGACAAACATCAGAACAAGCTGTATAATATCCTAGTCTTCTAAGTAATTGGGTAAGCTGCCCATTCCTTTTCTTGATAGAGGGCTGCTCATTTTATTGTTGTTTACTAAAATCTTTAGACTGAAGTGCTACCACATAGAAAAAGTGGCATACAGTATGTACACTCTCGCTACAGTTCAAGGATAACCCAGCTGGTATGTGAAGGAAGAATTGATTTAGCGGAGCAATCTTTCCACTGTTCAGCATCATGTCTCCTATATATTTGATATTTTGCCTTTTGTAGTGTACTGCATAAAAATAAATATGACAAGGTCTACCTATACACTGAGAAAGGTAGTAGAATGCTTATATCACGTTTGTTCTGACCCAACACTGGCGAATCCACTTACCTAAATCCTACAATGGGACATTCCTTGCAGATATTACACTTGGCTTGATGCTTAGCAGTTTCAGCTGCTGCCACTCTGTGAAGCACAGGTAGCCAGACCATGGACTGAGGCTCCAATCGCATCCATTGAATAAACTGTTTCACGTTGATCTCTGGCTTATTCTGAGCCTAGAATAAACATGGCAGTGAGTAGTAGTATAGTATAGAAGTATAGTAATTTAGGCCCCTTTCACACAGGATTCTGATCAGGTCTGCCTGTCAGTTTTTCTGATGGATCTGATCGGAAACCTGATGTTAGTCTATAGGAAGCCGGATCTAAGCAGATGTGAGTCTGTTTACATCCGATTCCCCCCTAGGTGTAGAAAACCAAACAAAACAGAGTTCCAATTTGGTGGACCTGATTGTGCTGGATTGGGGTAATCTGATCTTAATGGACACGTGCCTGTTTACATCCAGCTCTCCATAGACCAATATGAGTCTGGTAAGTTAATTTTTCACCCCTACTGCAAGATAACTCTCTGCTACCAACTTTCCTTGAATTAAGCTATTTTACAGTGTCAGAATGTTATGAAGAGCCTGCAGTGTGGGGTTATGAGATGGATATTTTCCAGTCAGTGAGGCATTAGTCAGTAAGCTCATAAATTCCTTTATGAACCCTGTTCACTAACAGAAAGGAGCATATTATTTATATAAGCAAACACATATCCTTGGGTAGAATGCTTTGAAAAGCTCATTTAGATTTCTTAAGAGCTTCAGCAATAAAACAAATGAATTAGAAACTAATGTACTGAAATTAAACGTGAACACATGAATTAAAGATCAGCTCAGCTCGATCTACTGCTAAATGTGTAGGTTGTTTGGAAATTCTTCTGAAAGCTAAAATAGCCTACAGTTTGCCTCAATTCTGGCATCACAAATATGGGGCAAGACGAGCATGCTGATTCATTTTTCAGCTATTGTATTTTGCAATTATGTCGAAAAACAAAAAAATGTAATATGAACAAAAATTTGCACCAGTACTTGTAAGCAATAACCAAAAGGGCTTTGACTTTTGTCCAACATGGAGCAAAGCCTGTTTGCCCTAACCCCCACCATTCTATAGTCCACTTTTTTAAGCAAGCATCAAGGGCCAGTGGGTAATCAGAGGGACGTCCTCCAAAATAGTTTTATTATATCATCCATCTTTGTCTTTATCAACATAAAGTAACATGATCACTTGATGAATACTAATACGAATAACTTTGAGGAAGGCTAAAATGCAATGTCTAAGCCTATGTTAGCCTAGATGATTAGTAGCACAGAACAAAAATACAGAAATATATCATAGATATCAAATATTTACATTTCTGTACAGGAATTTAATAACTTTTACTTTACATAGCTAGCTTTTAAAGTGTATGGAAACCCAAAATATATATTTTTAGTATGCTTGGCATCATGCCTAACAGTTTTCTTAAGCAAATCCTGACAATAACAGCATTTCCTGTTGCAGGCTGACAACGCAACTTAAAGGGTTATTAAACCCTCACGTTTTTTTGCATATATTTACAGCTAGAAGAGGAGGACAGAGGAGTCAGCGCTGGATCGGAGACAACCCCTGGAGGGACAGCTGAAAAGGACAGTAAAGAAGAAGATGATCGAATAAAGAGGCATCATTTAGGGTAAGTCTTGACACTAGCCTTTAATGTCACTTTAACCACTTCGGCTCTTACACCTCTATACCCCCCTATGAACCAGATCAGTTTTTACATTTCAGCTATGGACTTGTTTATGTAGTATTTACTTTTTCACTGCTTGAGAAAATAAAGTAATACATATATCACTTTTTTTAAGGACAAACAAGTGATAGTGATATTGTCACGCAAAAACTATTTTAAGTTTATGTAGTTTCTGGACAAAAAAAAAGTAACAACACTTTTGGTTAAAAATGAGAAACAAAATTACTGTAGATAAAAAGCATACATTTTATTTTATTATGTGTCCTGCTTATGAAACTAAAATTATGATCAGGTACAAAGCATTCCAATGATATTTGCAAAAAAATATTTTTTTTTTCAAATGTGCACTTGTTTTAATGCAAAACTAAAAAAAAAAAAAAAAAATATTTAAAAGATTAAAGGTTAGAAATGAACAAAATAAGTGAATGATAGCTAAGGGGGAAAAGGGAAGAAGATGTTTAATAGGGAAAATGTGGGGTTTTTACTTGTCAGGTTGCTTTAACTAACATCATATACACATGGAACCTTTATGCTTTTAAACTGTTTTTTTGGGTGTATAGAACATGCCAATATTCATAACTGGATATTGGGCAGGATTGTCAGCCTGCTGTGCAAGCCTGTTCAGCTGGCTGTTGGGTTGATTATCTGATAGACCTGATAGGCAGATTCACGAAAAAACGATTTGCCTAAGAATACTGCATACAGTGAAGCATGATGCCAAACATGCTGGAAAAAACAGATTTACAGACACTTCAAAGATATAGAGATCTGAAATCTCTCTCATTGGAAAACTATATGACAAGAAATACTAGAGCTATTTACCAGTCTGTATGTACTGTCCCATAACAACCCATCAATAGTTCTGCTTTCAACTTTGGATGTTTACATTTGATTGGCTGCTGTAAGGCAGTTATCCAGGAGTCTCATTGTTCTATAAGTATGTATGTCAGAGGGCTCTTCTAGCAACGAGTCCCCCTCACTGTGGCTGATTGGCTAGCCATGGTTGAAGCTTACAATGCCATTGGTTCTTTTTGTAGATGAATGAAACAAGGAATGGAGATCACAGAATGTTATCAGTATGGGTATAAATAAACAATTCTCTTTTGGATAGGTCAGACTGTGGCTCGATAACATACAACAGAGTGTATTTTAAGACTCCCTAGAAGCTTATATTATTTTCCTGTAATATTTTTACACAGCATGATATCAGTAAAAACTCAAATTAGTTGTCTTTACTTACATGTTGAAAACAACTACGGACACTTGGTTCAATATTACTTCCACCGAAGGCTGCCACTTCCCCCAGCTGCCGTGGGATTTGAATAGCATCATGCAGTAGTAAGCCCAACTGCTTCTGGTCACAAGTGTCTGCTGCCCCAGAAACTTCCTGGAAAAGATCTAGGAAGAAAAAAAATGTTAATGGTCTCCATGGGTAGTTAACCTATGAGGCAACCAAATGCTGTAATGTATCGCATCATATTAAGGTAAGAATTAAAATAATAATAATCCTCTATATAGTCCTAGATGGATTTATGACAACAGATTTTGGTGAGAAAAAAAAATATAAAATATAAAAAGTAGAAGATCCATGAAATATTGCCTCCTTCATTTTTCATCATTGTAGTTTTAGAGGTTTCTGATATACAGACCCATATCAGTGCATGTATCTTTTTAGAAAGCCATGCTTCAATCACACCAAATATAGATAGGACTGAGGTCAGGACTTTGACCAGGCCATTCTCATATTATATATTACATTTGATTCACTGTTATTAATCTATAGCTGTGTTTTGTATCTTAGTCATGTAACATAATTTTTTATTCTTGAGTTTTTTGTTTTGTTATGTTCAATAGGTTTTTATTGAAAATTTTTCAAAATTTTTCTTAGGGGAATTCTCGAAATAGAACCTCCAGGCCCCATACGGTACTGTGCAAATTATATGTGGGTTCGCCTGCACTATATGCTTAATTTGGAGATATTGGAGAAAGCAACTAGAGGGCAGCCCATGTGTCGATGACAAGGAAGAGAAGGGTATTAGTTTACCATCAATTAGCAAATCTTGCAGGTGTCGGATCTCTCCAGACGTGTAAACCTGGGCGGTAGGGGTGGAGTACAGTGCCATAATTGCCGATAGGATCCATCCCGAGAATCCAAATTTTGGATAGATAGATAGATAGTGCCAATTAATTCTGTCGAACGCCTTCTCCGCATCCAAAGTTAGGAGCAGAGAAGGCGTTTTGGAGCGTTCTACGTAGTGGATCAGGTTTATGACTCTGCGGGTAGCATCCGGAGCACCCCGGCCCTATTCTTGAGTTTTTTAATGAGGTGCCTGATATTGTACCAAAGCATTTGCCAATACAGCATAAGGTTCTTTGGTCCCTCAGTGACTGAAAAACATCCAGGAAATGAGGCAGCAAAGCAACCCCAAAACATTATACGCCCTACACCACTGTTCACAGATAAAGGGGTCTATTCACAAAGCTGCCGAAGGATCTAGCCGTAGCTTCGGCTGATACTTCGTCTAGCTTCGACCCCAGGACCCCTTTGGTTCAGTAGAACCGAAGGGCTGCTGTACGGGCTATTCACTATAGCCCGTACAGCTCTCGAAGTTGGCAGAGGGGCTCGGTCGAGCCGAAGGCATATGCTTCGGCTCGACTGAGCCAAAGTGAAAGCGGAAGCTGGCCATTGGCCGGCCAACAGCCTGCCACTGACTGCTGGACGGAGCCAGCCGTCATCTCACGGCTGGCTCCGGCCACTTGCACAGACAGATCATCGTCCCTGGTTACCAGGGACGCTGATCTCCAGACAGCCCAACTCTCCTAGACGCTCCGGGAGTCTCCTATTAGATAGCTCTAGCAGAGTAAACCTTTCCCTGCTCTGTTGTCTTTTTTTTTTTCCGACATCGGAGCCGTTGGCTGCTGTCAGAATAAAAAAAAACATCATAGGAATGCATAGCTACATTCCTATTGGCTATTTCAATTTGCAATAGCCAATAGCAAACTGGCTATTGCACCCGCCCACTGCTGCCAAGTGAAATTGCAAAGTGAAATAGCAAATAGGAATCTAGCTATGCATTCCTATGGTGTTTTTTTTATTTTATTCTGACGGCAGCAGAACGGCCCGGCCAATAGAAAACAGTTGGGCGGAGCTAGCTGTCATTGCTAGCTCCGCCCAACCGTTTTATATTTTATGTCTTCTACTTTTTTAACTGTTTTTCTATTCTGCTCGGTACCACAGAGGTACCGAGCAGAGTAGCCGAGCCGAATGCCGAAGGCATCTATGAGAATAGGCCGAACAGCAGCGAGTAGCCTGCCGGAGGTTCGGCTCAGCCGATCCAGATGTAGGATCGGCTGAGTGGAACTCCTTCTGCACTTCGTGTCGATCGAACATGCTGAGCGTGTTTGGCCCACCCGAAGCCAGCCGATGTAAGGCTGAAATCAGCCGTACAAGCCTGAAGTGAATAGCCGAACAGCTGCTCACTTCACTTTGGGTCGGTTATTCACATGGCTGCCTACGGCAGCTTTGTAATTAGACCCCAAAGTTGTGGTTTTAGTATGCAGTGTATTCCTCCCAAAGTTTTGCTTCCCCAAATCCTGTGTTGGTGATGGTACATAATACGTCACATATTCCCAGCAGAAAGTCAAAGTCTACCAAGCTCTACAAACTGTTAATCTGAAACAATGTTATTCAGGGTAGAAGAAAGCATCATGCAGACAATTTACATTTCCTTTTTAACACTACAAGAAGTAATTAATTGGGAGTTTCATAGATATCTCTCAGGCTTTCTCTGATTTCCTGATAATAATGTAAACCCACTTAGCTAACAATAGATGTCTGACATTCTGTGCTGACAGTTGAATGGAAGATTGCCCATCTGACCTGCTATAAAAGAGTGAGAGTATGGAGCAGACAGAGAAGGGAAAACAAAATGCAGTGCTCTCACTGTAGACAAAGTCAGATTTTATAGCTGAATTCTCAAAGGAATCTATAACAGCAGCAGGTGCTAATGGATAGGAAGCATTCGCGTCCCGAATGAATTATCCACACCAGTAAGCAGGCTTCTAAAAACTGGCCTTGGAATGTGTTAAATAAGTTCAGTTTACCTCACACAGGCTATAATAAATGCATACAACTGCATGGACAACATAAGCAGCAAAACTGCTAGATCTTTAAAATCACACAAACCTGATGTATGATTCAGTCGTGTACTGACTATGTATTATTCTATTATTTTAATTTATCTGCAAATAATGGGAGATGACTAATGGCATTTGTGCTAAGGAGAATGCTTTAAAGAGTTAACTAACAGCTATACAGTCAGGACTGTAGCTTTAGGCATTAACAGTTTACCAATCTCAAATCAATATTTTTTTTAGCAAAGTGAATCTTTATGGACCTTCTATTTGCAATCAGTCTGATGATAATGGAAAATAACAGATTTAGGCCTTATAAATAACCATTACATTGTGTTATAAGCCCCCCCACCCCTAACTGCCACTGAGAATTTCTGTCAGATGCAGAGAAAAATATGCTCTATACCCTTAGACAAAATACTATTCGCTTAATAGCAGATTCCAGCAGACAATAACACCATAGATGTAAAAGACTTTCAAGGCTAATGCTTAAAAAAAAATATGGCAACAGGAAGCTTTTCACAAAGGTTTGCTGATCATTAGAGAGATCCATTCATCAAAATGGTGAACAAAGTTGGCAAAACACCAAGCAAGTCTGTAAACAATAAACAGACACAGAGTTGCTCAAAGAACAGGATTAAAGTGAAGTAATCCACATGAAAGGACCAGGGTTCCACATACACAATCCAGACCAGAACATGTACAGTCTTGCTTGGAAATGTCCCAGGTGAAGCTGATTGCTTGTCTGTCAGGCAATGTGACACTTTCTAAAGCTTATGGTCTATATATTGATTGATAAGAGGGTAAGATATGATTTCAAAACTGTGCTGTTTACCTTCTCTGGCAGCTATCCATGCTCTTGGAAGCAAGTCAAAAAGAAGGGTAAACAAGTCTGTAGGAAAGGTCAGCATGTTAACCAGAAATTTCAAGGGTGTGGTAGCTTTCTTTGTTTTACATATCAAGAGGTTGAAGGAGGTATACAAATATTTATAGGTATAGTAAAATAATATTTTAAGCTGAATTACAGCATAAAAATGTTTGCTAAAGTGCTAAAATGTATCCTAATTACAAGTGTTTTTTTGGAAGAATATGGCCATTTAGAGATGTTTATGTAATAGGCAGTAAAATAGTATACAGAAGATAAGTGGTTTACCTAATAATAATAAGACAGCACAGTAAAGAACATATATTGCAAAAGTAATCACTACAGAGACTTATCCCATAGTCATTATCATGTCTGCAAGCCTTGAACCTCCTGTGATTACATGGTGATGGCCCAAGAAGAAGTTTGCCAAATCTCATTTTAAATTGTTGGAACTGTGAAGGAGAGGACAAGACTATGTATAGAAAGTGTTACAAATCTGTCTGACTCAATCTAACTAAGCCATGAGACATAGCATATTGCTCGGCTGGCGGTACTTCGATGATGGGAGAGAATTTTTAAATTAGATATTTCTGCTGCTAAAGTTTTGTTTTTTAAATCTGTTTTTACTACACACACTTCACATACAGATGCATAGTGCAGTTAAAGGAATTATTGCCTTAACAAATGTCATCTAAGACAAAGATTAAAGCTGTCAAGGAAGTCTTTACAATCAGTACAATCAGGGCCGTCTTTAATATTGATTGGACCCTGGGCAAACATTTTCCTGGGCCCCTCACCCCCTACGGTAGACATCACGCAGTCATGCTACGTAGCATATGGCAGGGATGGAGCAACACTATGCGATGTCAATGACATAGTAACCAGAACGGTGCTGCGGGCATCTTTTGCAGGAGATGCGTAACTTGAAACCTTAGTGCCCCGACGCAAAAAACCATTAAGGTCCCCCCACCCCCATCAAAAAGAGCGTGATTGGATGCTTTTCAATAAATAATTGTTGTAAATGGCTCCTGTTGTGAGGATAACTAAGCCTATTGTTACCAAACTGTAACATGCAATAACCGTAAAGCATGTTCCCATCACTGGCGGAACTACCAGGGTCACAGTGGGTGACAGTGGTCACATGTGCATATTTAGGAATCATAAATATAGTGCTTGTTGTTTAACCCTTTTGCTGCCGAGGCATTTTTTTGCACACATTATAATCCACATTTTAGGCCTGAAAATGATATATTCTGAAAGCAAAAACCCTGTAGAATAAAATGGTGACAGTTGCAAATTTCTACATTGCACAATATTAGCGCAACTCTTTATCAAACCCAAAATTGTTGAAAAAAAATAAAATTAAGGTAATTTTAATGCCCAAAACCACAATATAATACCCAATAATAAAATATAAAAGATTAAGTTATGATGAGTAAATAAATACCCAACATGCCCAGGTTAAAAATTGCGTGCATCCGCGAAACGGCGACAACATACAGTACTCCAAATTGTCCATCGGCAACGCTTTAAAAAGCCGTACAGGTTAACTGTGAATATTGGCCCTAGAATTATTGCTCTCACTCTGACATGCAAAGCGATATCTAATGTGTAGCATGATCAACGTTTTTGTACGTAGGTGCACCCAATGTGCGTTTACGTTAATATTTATTTTTACATTTATTTTTTTTACACTTTTTTTAACTTAATTTAATCGATATCCCATTAAGGGGGCTCAAAAGCCCCCTATGTGATAGCACATTGGAGGTGACAGGTTTACCTTAAGGGGACATTAGGGGTCAATTAGGCCTAGTGTCACCTCCACTCCAAAGAAGCTATTGGAGCACAGATTGTACTAAAGGGGCAGTTGCTTTGGGCTGGTTAGAGGGAAAAAAGCTTGTAAAACTCTTGAAATTAGCAAATGATCCAACATACTGCAAGTGTGTAAATATGAAATGGCCAGTAAAATATTATTTACACACCATGGTTATCAAAACACCGGCAACTAACAGCACCCCCCGCTGAAAGCTCGGGCACCTACAGCCTGCCACCTCCTGCTCGGTCGACTGATAGCTCTGCTGCCCACCTCCTCCCGCTCAGCCAGCTGACTGCTAGGCCGCCCACTGCCTTCCGGTCAGCCATCTCCCGCCCGCATGACAGCTCCTTCCCCTGGCCGCTTCAGGCAGGGAAAAAGATAGGGTCAGCCCTGGGTCCGGGCATTGTCTCCAAGGCTTTGCCAGGAATAAGCTGACCCAAAAAACTGCAAAAAGAGCCCTTCCTGGCCTGCAGTTTACAAAAAGCCTTGTGAAAAGAAATATCTTGATAAAAAGTAAAAAATGGCAAGTGAAATGGGTTTGCTTTTCTCTGAAAAGACAAAGGAAAAGACATCCATTCTCCTAGGACATTAGCAAGAAATTGAAGCATGATGGGAGTAAGAGGGGTAATGGCTGAATAACAGCTTTTTATTTTCCAGTGTCCAATTCTCCTTTAGGCAGCAGTATAACCCATTTCTTCTGATCCCTTAATGAAGGGATAAGAAAAAAAATATACTGTACATACACACACACACACACACATATATCTAATTGTTTTTAGCTAGTTGTAAACATCTATCCTACATTAAGCTGTCTTTATATTTGAAACCGGAGGAGTGATGGTTGTGCATAGGCATATTTCTATTTCCTGCACAAGTTTTATTAATTTGTCATGAAGTGCTCCATGTCAATCTGGATATTTAACTTGTTGAGTTTATCTTTATGTGCCAGTCTTTGTTTAATTCTCCAAATTGATAAAATATTCACAACCCATGTCAGAAAACATGTATTAAACCTTGCTTTTAGTAATTGGTAGAGCCTTTCAAAAGCTGCAATACCCTTCACTAACAGGGCTATTCACAAAAGGGTGAAGATTATGGAGAAGGCAGGAGAAGTGAACAATCTAGGACAGCATAGCTGAACTAAAAACTGAGCTGAATTGGAGAATCTTTCCAAATCAGCTATTTTGGCCTAGTTTTTCCATTTTTCCTGTGTTCTCCAAACTCTTCACCCTTTTATGAATAGCCCCTGTAAGTGTTTTCTGTAGTAGCTTATCACACTTGAACAATACCTAAGAGTAATGCTGGTCTCTCTACCAAAATCTGCGAGTTCAATGATATTTCTAGGATTCCCTGCATGAAAACCAAAACATATTTGTACAGCGAGAACCCTTCATACGACATATCTTCCAATTATCAAAATTCAACTTACATCTGTATTTTTCTTCCAGAAGTCCTTTGGACAGAGACATAAGCCCAATCTTCAGAGACTGTACACGAATCTTCCCTGTACGACCACTGCAAGAGAAACAGTCTCATTAGTTACATCCATTGTGACATAAATTAGTGCAGTATATTCAACTAATTCTACAGATAAAACGCTAACAGTTACAGCCTGTATACAAGAGATGTGTCAGTACTGCTTTTCTCTCCATACAAGTCAACAGAAAATCTGTTTGAAACAGACTGATGCAGCTTAGAAGTTCAAATTCAGGTCAGAAACATGAAAGAATACACCATAAATGATCTCAGAAATGTCTAACACTGATCTTAAATGCAGTGTAAATGTTTCTACTCTCTGTAGCATTTAGGATCCACCCATCTGCAGAAGAAAAAAAGAGCAAGGAGGACCTGTGACATCATTGGACATGTCCTAAGACTATTTGATGTTTTTTAGCTTCTTAGTATTACTATCATGTCGCTTATAGTGAAGACAAACTCCAATCATGTAAAGGTAAAAGAAAAAAAAAACACCTGTAGAATGATTAAAGGTAGGTGACAATTGTGCAAGAAAATGTCATAAAGGTACTCACATTTATAAGTTTGTTGAACACCTAAAAAGGGTCAGACAACCTGGTGACAAAGCCAGCAGAGAATATTTTCTGTCTCCACGCAGACTGGACATACTCAATGCTTGGGGATCCTATGCCTAGGGTTTTGAAGAACCGGTATACACATGGATAAGAATGCTGATGCCGCAAAATGTAAAAGACTGTGGTGTGCAGAGGAGACATAAGTCTGAAGAAAATTTACTTCATAAAAGGTCACAGCACGAAGTAAAAACACCTTACTTGCTGCTGTATCGAACAAAAAAAACCCTTTTATTAATTAAACATTCTTTAGACATGTATGTCTCCTCGGGCACCTCTACCTACCACCTACCTTACATTTTGGGGCATCAGTATCCTTATCCATGTCCCTTATAGGGAGATTTCCTCTCACTTCCAGTCATTGTGACACCCAGATCATGAACGTCTTGTCTTGCCCTCCTCCCTGAAGTATGCTCTTCATACTTTCCTTCAAAGAATTCACAGTTGCTGCCAACAGTGTCACTCACTTCCTAATGGACTATATATAGGAAAAGTTGGAAATCTACAATTCCTCCTCAGAGGGAAAACAGGAATGTCAGTTCAGAGCAGTGCCTAAATGTCTCCAAGAAAGGAAGTGAGGGAAAATTTCCCTAACCGTCACACAGACTGATATAAAATCCTGACTCAGGCTCTAACAAAACAAATAAAAAGTGCCGTGGTTGGAGCTCTGTTTTATGTTTGAAATAATCCCATGCTAGATGAATTATTAAACTTTTCCCATTATGCTGAAGTGGGACTGCAGTCTCTTGTAACAATTCTGAACTGCAGTCTTCATGTTGCAATGTGTGAGGGTAAGGGCACTGCAAGGGGGTGCTTTGGACCAAGGAATGCTTGGAGCACATTTTTGAAAGCTAAGACTTAAAGGGTATCTATGGTATAAAACTAAAAAAACTAATTTATTTCTACAATGAATTTCCATTCTATCCCACTCCTAACAACCATATCAATCTAGAAGTTTGTAACCTTATTGAAGATTCCCAGAAGATGTACCACAATTTCACTCAGCCCTTGTGTCACAACTCTCACAGAGCCTGCCTTCTAAACTACAACTCAACTTCTGAACAATGTAACATTTTCATTGCCTGCTAGAAACAATGCATTAACGGCAGTGGTGGAACTACCGGACGCTTTGGAGCCCGAGGCAGGGGGGGGGGCTGGTCAGCAGCAGAAAGGAAGGCTGCATTAGTGTGTGTGTGCGAGTGTAATAGAGTTACCCGTCCGTCGCTCCGGATCGGCGCAGGCTTCTGCCACGTCAACAGGCCCCTCCTCCTATGTTAGCTTAAAGCCGCACGAGTTTACTTGCCCGGCGTTCGAGCAAGGGAGAAGTCGCTGGGCAATGCAGCTCCTATCCCACACGCTGAACTCTCTTCTGATTTCCACAGGCAGCTTACCCTCTCAAGGGATCCACCACTGTGAGACTCCTTCCCTTCTTCCTGACCACAGCATTAGAGATCTCCTCCTCTCCAGCTACAGGAACTAACCTCACTTCCTCCCTGAATCTCCATTGGGATTACTGGCATATCCCTCCACACATCGATCTGAATATCGATCTGGTTTACAGAGGGACTTTCTGTGGAACTCTTCTCAAAACGCAAGTACTTGTAGTAGAATGCTATTCCCACACTGACTGTCTGTTCTACTTTCATAGTACAAGTACTTGCTGCCTTAATCTACTACCAAGAAGATTTTATGTTAAACATTTCCCGCACTCAGGCTATAGATACTGCTTAAAGGGACTCTGTGTGTACTAGAGGTCTTTCTGTGAGAGGATACAGGGGAACCTCGCCAAAACCACATCTATAGGAGTTAATCCTAGTGTTCCAAAGTGCCCGGGGGGTTACATGGGGGGGGGTGTATTTCTCTATGTTTGTGTGTATTTAACCCATTCATACCTGTTTAGTTTGCGATTAGGTTTAAGGATTCCTGCATCAGGAACTTGCGTTTTTCCTGCAGCAGGAATCCCTAATCTGGTATTTACAAGTGGCAGCTGTCACCCGTTCAAGTTAATGATCAGGTGACAGCCACTGCATGTAAATGCCTACAAACCACATGTAATGGTATGTGTTATGATTACATGTGGTTAGGAATCAATCACTATCCCTGGATGCACGATCAATGATTGTTCTCTAACTGCATGTAATCATATATAATAATATATACTGTAGCTCAGGCAGCAGGCCACATGACTGTAGCAATGTGTTGTTCAGTGGCATTTTTTTGGGGGCGGGCCCTGTGATTTCTAGTCACGCCCCTGATTAAGGGCTATGTAGTCTTAAGAAATCCAGAAAGCATAAGATCAAGCAGCACGGTAAGAGATGCAAAGCATATTGGGAATCCAGGAAGTTTTTGAAAGTGGTGGGCAGATAGAAGGCAGCACTTACTACATAAAAAGGGATTTTTTAACCAGTTGACATCCGCGGTGTTAAACCCCCTTCCCATCCAGGCCATTTTTCAGTATTCAGCGCTGCGGTACTTTAACTGACATTTATTCCGTCATGCAGCGCTGTACTGAAATGAATTTTATACCCTTTTTTGGGGACAGATAGAGCTTTCTTTTGGTGGTATTTATTCACCACTGGGGGTTTTATTTTTTTACTATATTAAGGAAAAATTACC